CCCAGTAGATAGTTGTATGTCATAGTTGCACATCCTTCTAGTTGCTGTATGTGGGACGCGGCCTCAGCATGGCCAGAGAAGCGGTGCGTCCGTGCGCGCCCGGGATCCGAACCCAGGCCGCCAGCAGCGGAGCGCGCACACTTAACCGCTAAGCCACGGGGCCGGCCCCGATAGGTGCTTCTTTATGTCTGCCACAGAGGGAGGTAGTGGTAATAGACATGGTCAGAGCACAAATCTGGCCCGGCTATAGATTTAGGAATCTTTACCCATCTCCCCCTGCTGCTGCAGGGGAGACAGTGATTCAGGGAGGCAAAAGGTCTTTCTTCCAACTGGTGTTTAAAAATCACTGGAAGCTTTTATTACCTCCATAGACTCACCATCATTTGGAGTCTAGAGAAACTCAATTTGGGGAGGCAAAGGGACTGGGGGGTTCTTCAAGTCTGTCTTTGATGTTCACCTATCCTTGATTTCACCAAGCACCAAACGTGACTCAGTGACCCCCCCCCCGCTTCCTTCCCACCTCCTCACACTCAGGAATGGCCCTGGAGATTTTAGAATGAATTATGACGTCCTTGAGACAACCACCAATTCATAAAGAAGTACAAGGAAATTATCCACTTCACAGTGAAATCAGCCAGGCTGATGCATTGGCCCCAGATGGACTGGGTGGCCATTTGGAAGGGGCAGTACAGAGAAAGAATGTGACTTGAGACACTTGAGAGTGATTTGAGGGCCTGGTCCTCCTTCAAAGGCAAATCCAGGCCTGGACTAAATCTAATTGTTAAATGAGAGACATTGATGCCAAGACAAGTCATCTTCCAAATAAGTGGGTAACTAACTACTTTTGGTTGCAAAGGCATATAAACTTATTTTCCAGGTACATTAAACCCCATTGTTATTGCACAGATTTTTGTGTACAGTGGGTCAGATCACATACCTTAAAATACAAGTACATAAAAATCTATGTTGAACCTAATTTAATATGCTGAGCCTGTGAAAGATTTTAGACCTGGCCAAAACATAGAGATTTCAGTGCATTACATATCTCATCTTTTCATTGTCTTTTTCTAGTTATCACGGAAACAGTAACTACAAGACTTACATCCTTACCACCAAGTAAGTGACCATGTCATGATCTTTCTTCTCAGTAAGTCATGTGTGAAGGTCTCCACGTGTAACCTTTCCCATAGGTGCTCACTCTCCAGTTGAGCAAATCCAAAACATCTGAAATCTTATGTTTAACGGCTGTATTGACATTAATTAATATACCACAAAATCCACCAGTTTGAAGTGTATAATTCAATGGTTGTTAGTATACTTACCAAGTTGTGCAGCCATTGCAACAATCTTATTTTAGAACATTTCCATCACCCTAAAAAGAAACCTCATGACCGTTAGCAGTCACTCCACATTCTCCCTCTTCTCTCCTCAGCCCCTGAAAACCACAAATCTACCTTCTGTCTCTGTAGATTTACCTGATCTGGACACTAAAATATCGGAAGTCTTCCAACCAGAGCATGGGGTGGGAGGAAGGAACCAGCAGTCAAGCTTCTGTTTGAATCCACTTGTCTTCTGGGGAGGGCCTTAGGTTTAGTGGATTCTGTAATCAAGATCTGAACTCTAAAGCTACCCCTGCACCTCCCAGGAAGCCTGGCTCACAGTGGTGGGGCAGGGGTGGGGAGGGATGGTGGTGTGGATTGAGGGTGGGAGAGCCCACCCATTAGCAGGTGAGGTTGGAGCATGACAGGCTGCTGGTGGAACACTAGCAGCACAGAGCTGTCACTCATCCCTCCAGCCCTCCTAGAGGCTGCCACATCTGGGCCACTGACCAGGCCTTTGAAAAGAGCAAGCCCAACACAAGGCCTGGCCTCAAGGAACTTCTCCTCATTCAGCTATCTTTTCTAATATTTAAGTTTCCCTAATAAGCAATTTACTATGCTCCACCCAGAAGACTTTCCTTTTAAATCAGGTAGAATATTTGCTCTTGACATTTGTATCAAAAATAAACAAAACGAGAGCTTGGCAGCTTGCACCAGGCAGTGCAGGTGGGACAGGGACCCCAAACCAAGAGCGTCTTGGGTGGAAAGCCAGAGAAGGCTTCCAAGGAGATGAGGGGACCCTCTGGGCTGACTCCACTGGTAAATTGTCACCTGCTCCTTGTTTCTGCAGAAGGGGGAACCAGCAATGGCTATGCTAAAACGGGCTCTCTTGGTGGAGGGAGCCGGCTGGAGAAGCAGAGCCTGATGCATGGCAGCAGCGGCTACATAAACTCAAGTAAGTGCCTGCTGGTGGGAGGCATAGAGGGAGAGCAGACAGATGGGGAGAGAGAAAGTCCTGCAGGGAGAGGGATGATGACAACTGTTCCTCATTGTTCCAAATGCCCCAAAGAGCTGTGTAATAGACACACAAGCCAACGAAAGTGAGACTTTCAAATCATCCACGTTTGAAGCCTACTTCAAATGGGATCAATTTTCATTAAGTACCTAATATAAATAACAATAGTTAATTAAGTGTTATCGCACTGGGTCCACTTTTGCCCACCGCCCAGAAAGCCAATCACAGAGATGACGAGATTGCAGAGAGAGAGAGTTTAATCACAAGGCAGCCAAGTGAGGAAAAATGGGAGAACAAGTGTCAAATCCACCTCCCCGAAAATAGGGACTCAGGGGTGTTTATGGGAAGGGGCAAGGTGGTCTGAAATGATTGGAGGTGAGGAGAGATGAGGTAATTGATGATCTGCGCAAGCGTAGTCAGCCTTCATGCCACTTTGTGGGACACCTGTTCACAGAATGGCGGCATTAGCATGCCCTGAGGGTGGAGTTCCAACCTCTTGCTGTCAAAAGGGCCCAGTTGATGGGTTGGTGGTCTCAATCCAGCATGAAGTGGACAAGGGGTTCAGTTCCTGAAAAAATAGCTCAAACACCCATTACCATGGCGACCCAGGCTCCAGGGGGATATTACCTATAGGAACCTAGAGGGAGTCAGATAGCATACTACCTAAAGAGCACAGTTAACAATGGGTAAGTTTATCATGCAGATTTAAGTCTTCATTTTCCATTCTGATAAGTTTCTAGGTAAGGCCATCCCTCCCTTCTTCCTGGTACAGGGAAAAGATACCTTTACAAATGGAGATTTTCTTTACAAATGTAAATGTATTTTATAAAGAGTAACCAGAACTAAGAATGAGTTTAGCACAGACCCACTCAGACATCAGAGATCTCTATGGTGATGGCCTGTTCTGGGGGCAGGCCTCCCATCACAAACTCCTTTGGTTAGTTAGTGGTGGTGGGGGCCTCTTCTGATCCCCCATAGTTACAGGCTGTTTAATCATCAATGGCTAACTCTTTGCCAGTTTCATAAGGCTTCACGGGAAGGTAGCTCCTTTCCCACTGAATCACTCTCCTTAAGCTATCTCTTTCAGAGAAGGGTGTGCACTCTGAGGGTTTACAATTTGAATTAACAACAACAAAAGAAACTTAAGGATTGGGTTACAGTGCTGAGGGAATCTGGTGACACGGGATCTGACACCGCGAGTTCTCCGGCAAGCATCCAAGCCAGGCCCATTGTTCCCAATGAAACACCCTTTCAGGGCCGGCCCCGTGGCTTAGCGGTTAAGTGCACACGCTCCGCTACTGGAGGCCCAGTTTGGATCCCGGGCGCGCACCGATGCACCGCTTCTCCAGCATGCTGTGGCCGCGTCCCACATACAGCAACTAGAAGGATGTGCAACTATGACATACAACTATCTACTGGGGCTTTGGGGAAAAAAAGGAGGAGGATTGGCAATAGATGTTAGCTCGGAGCCAGTCTTCCCCAGCAAAAAGAGGAGGATTAGCACAGATGTTAGCTCAGGGCTGATCTTCCTCACAAAAAAAAAAAAAGAAAGAAACACTCTTTCATGGTAGCTTTCAAGCTGAAACAAAACAAAACAAAACAAAGCAAAGGAAACAAACGAACAAACCCACACACATAACCCCTGAAGCCACTTCAAAAATCTTGGAGCGATACTAAAAAAGGAGACCCAAGACATACAAACAGCCCGGTTGACCAAGAGAGGCGCCTGCCCCTACCTACTGAGGACGCTTCCATATGGATTATGTTCTAGTCTATCCAGCAGGGATCTGCGACTAAATGCCAGGTCCTCAGGAAAGCCCTGCTGAAGCCTCTCCATTTCCATGCACTGTTGCCATGAACGGAAAGGACCTCCCTGCCTTCCAGGGGTCAGCTTGGGAAGGGGAGTGGCAGTAATATCGCCTCCCATTTCTGAGCAGCCATGGGAATGTGGGGTGAACTTCTCCTGTCATGCCCTGCTGATGTCCTCTGGCCCCTCCAGAGGGCGCTCTTCCGTTATGAGCAGCCTGAGTGCACTTAATGCAACTGGATGTCAATCTGCCAAAGTGCTCTGAGAATTTCCGCTTTTCTCCACTTGTAGGCGGAAGCACACGAGGCAATGCCTCCACATCCAGTTACAGGAGGGCTCATTCACCTGCCTCCACGCTGCCCAACTCACCAGGCTCAACCTTTGAAAGGAAAACTTACATCACCCGCCATGGAACCTACGAAGGTATCAGTCTCACAGACTTGAGAAGAGAACTACTCTCCTCCCCAAGTAACTTCTCTCACCCTTTAAAGATTTAAGTGTTCACCTGGGTCTGCCCCCTCACCTTTCTTTCCCCTCTTCCTTCATTTAGGGACTCATGTTACTTGGAGACTTCATTGATTTACCTACCCCTTCACTCATTCATTCTTTCATTCATTCATTCATCCATTCAGTCACTTTTTCAACTGGTATTTTATCAAATATTTGCCATGTGTTTAACACTGTGCAGAATGCCTGGATGGATGCTTAAATGAATCAGACATGGATCTTGTCTGCAAGGAGCCTATAGTCTAATAGACAAGTTAAGATGACAAATAAAAACTATAATGCAAAGTAGAAGGGGATTATCATTTCCAGCTGAGTCTTCAGGGAAGCGTCTATAGGGGAGGTGGCATCTGATCTGGGCCTTTGTGATGTGTAAGATTTTATACCCCATAGAAAGATGGGGCACTCCAGGCTGCAAGAGAAGCAGCACAAGCAGAGACAGGCAGGATAGTCAGGGCTTAGGTAGTAAGCAGCATGGTACTTATGTCAAGAGAGATTGAGAGACTCAGATTCGGTGATAGACTATGATGTTTGGACTTTCTTCTGCACACAGTGAGAAGCCGCAGAGATTTTTGAGTAAAAGAGTTGATTGTATTTGAGGTCTAGGACCTGAACTCCGGAAGCCATGTGCAGAAAGAACAGAGAGGAAGGAGGCTGAACACTGTGGCCAGTTAGAAGGTGCTCAATAGTCCAGGGAAAAGAAGACTTGGCAGGGACTAGGGTGGTAGCAGTGGGAGAGGAAAGGAGGATCAGGAGGCGAAAGATATTGCAAAGGTGGAACTGACAGGTTTGACAATTGCTTAAATGTTGGGGGAAAGGGAGAAAAAGGAGTCAGCAATTCCACTGAGATTTCCACTGGTTGGGTTCATGGTGGTGCCAATGACTGAAACAGGAGAAGGCCAGGTGGAGGCCTCCACGTGGATGAGTTCAGTTATTTCATCCTGAAGCAGAGCCACTGGTATAGCTTTCAGGTGAGGGTACCAAGTAGGCAGCGGGATGCCCAGGACTTGAGCTTGGGGAAGAAGTAGGGCCAGATCCTCAGTTTGGAGTCATTTACAAAGAGATGTTAGTGGAAGTTGGAAAACTGAAGGAGTGGGCCAAGGAAGAGAGTACAAAAGCAGAAGGGAGCAAAGGAGGATAAAGTTGGGGGAAGAAGGAAAAAGAAGAGCCAGAATTCACAGAGAGGAGGAAGAGTCTTTGAGGGGTGGGGAGACCAGGAACAGGCAGCATCACTGAAGTCACCTCAAGACAGTGCTCAGAGTCAAGGAGGAGTAGGCGAGAGGAAGACATCTGGGTTCTGCTCCTAAGGTTACTGGAGTTCCTGGTGATCGCAGAAGCAACTTCAGCAAAAAACAGACAAGCCATGTGACAAATGGGTCCAATAATGAACGGAGGTGGGTTCTAGTGATGGAGAGCAGGATTAAGGGATGGGAACCCCAGTAAATGATTTAAGACCCAGAGCTGCCAGGGGGTATCGAGGAGCCCAAAAGCCAGGCCAGGTGGATTGTGTCACCACACTGCTTTCTGATGTCAGGCCTGCATGGGGGCTGGTACCTTCATTTTCACAGGGTCCACAATTGAGACGAGCTTCACAGAGACACCCCGATGCTGACAGCACATTTATTTGACCAGGGACAGGTCACCTGCACCAGCACTGGTACAGGGCAAATGCAGTCAGCGAAGTGGAAAAAAAAAAAAAAGAAATGAAAACCTTCTGCTTTCCTTTGTTCAAACCCTGACCCACAGAAGTAGATCAGTGGCAGGGCGGAGCGCCACAACCACATCCAGTAGGTGCGTGGTGTTTAAATCATGAGCCTGCTGAAGAGCACATCGCTTCGTCCTGGACACCCAGGCTGTGCAGTTCAGAGAGGAGCAACCCGCACAACCCGCCCTCTCAGAAGCCCTTTGGGCTTAAGCAGCCATTTGTACTGAGTGTTTTATCCCCTCTCCAGGGAGCTCCAGTGGCAACTCTTCTCCGGAGTACCCTCGGAAGGAATTTGGTATGTCCTTTCCCTATTTTCTGAAGAAATGATCAAATTGCCTAGCGAGGAGGGAGGAGTGAACATCATGAGTTAAATGGATTTTTCTAAAGGAGTTTGACCCCCGCTGACCTGTTTTTCCCTTGCTCCTTATCCTGAAGCACCTTAAGGGACTGTCAGCCACGTTAACGTGCTGCCATAAACCTGTGCTAGTGACATTACCGAAATAGCAAGCTATTCATACAACGCTCAAGCTTGGACAGATAAGCCCTAAGGCCAAGCAACAATAGTAGGGTTTTTCCTTCCACAGGAAGCACAGAGACCTCCCAGCAAAGAGGAACAGGGGTTAGAACCCACAAGCGCCAAACATCCCAGCACCTCCACCACAGCCAACTTCAGAGGGGCATGTTTTATGCCAAGTGAAACTCTAGCTAGGCTATATCTTCACTTGGCCATAAGTCTTTGGTCCATATTCTTGGATTCTCACTGTGCATATGAATTGATGATATAATCATTGATTGTACAGTGATTATAACTTTATTTATTTGCTTACAGTGGGAAAACCAAGGAATTCTATAACAAAAACCTAAAGGGAAGATTTAGCAGTCTTTTGATACATATTTGATCAGTATAGTCAGCCAGTCCAAATGGATCGTGCTCCCAAACGATTTACTTATTAACTTAACACTCTAAGTGTGAGCTGACTTAACATTCATTTAGCTAACTTAACACCCTAAATGCACTGGGGCCTTGCAAAACTTTCTCTGCCCTTCGGCTATGTGGTCGTCATTGATTAAGCATCCACCAGCCATAAAGTCTCCTATCTGGATATAAACGCACTAGGAAAACAACTTCTTCCACCCACCCAAATAGATCTACCTCTATGTCAAAAATATTTAGCATGCCACCTATTCTATGTGCCTAAGATTACTTTTCTTTGTTTCTCAGCATCTTCTTCAACCAGAGGGAGGAGCCAAACACGAGGTGAGCTCTGTCACTAGGTCCAGTTCAGTTCATTCAAAAAGTATTTCCTGAGCATCTGACGTGTGTCCGGCCTTGAGTTAGGAAATGTGAGGAGTACAGAAGAATGAATAAGGCATAGTTTCTGCCCTCAAGGAGTTTACAGCATCCTGGGAATCTTTTGCTGGCTCTACCAGGATGAGAAGGGTAGATTTAGACAGTGATCTAACAAGCATGTGGAGGCAGGGGTGAAGACACACGGTAAGGACCTGGGGAGTAGTTTGGTCTGCTCTGGATTCTCTGAAGATGCTGCCGCCACATCTGGTTTCACTTCTAGTCTCCCGCTTGACTTGAACAAGATGCACTGTAATTGCCTTTATGCATCAGAACTGAGAAAAGGCCCTTCTTTTTCAAATTATTCCAGGGGACAAAGGGCTCCATGACAGTTCTGCACTCTCCGCATCTGCCCATGGATAAGGCTCTAGGAGGGACATGTGGTCCTGGGGAAAGCTGCCCTTGATAAATCTGGTGAAAGTGGCGAGGAGCATGTGTCAGGGCTGTGCTGAAGGCAGAATTCCTCAGAGGCTCTGCGAGTTCTCAACGACCAGTCTAGACTTCCCAGGGGCCTCATTGCATCAGGAACTTGAAAGTTAGGAACATACCAACCAGCCACAGCTTTAAGCTGATAGTTGAAGGATGCCAATGTTCCCCCTGAAGCTAACTAATAATGTTAAACCACAAACTTCCTGCCCTGAAGAGGCCAAAATGGCTAAGTAAACACCATAGGTTTCAGAATTCTCTCACTAATGCCTGAGAGACCCTGGAGGCAGGAGAGCAGCTTGGTTCAAGCAATTGGAAAGGGCAACGGAAAAGGGGTTGGTCGTTGCTGATGACAATGGAGCCTCCCAGCTCAGCCTGGGATTTCATCAGAACGTCTCCAGGTGGCTGGGAGGTGTGCAGGAGGTAGGTCGGGGTGTGGGGAGAGGATCTCTCCTTTGAAGCAGCATTCATTCTTGGCACACTTAGGTTTCCTGTTCCCAGGACACAGAGATCTCAGAGCAGGCCAAAGATATATCGGCTGCTCAGAGCTCAGTGTCAGGCACTATGATCCACGCTCCTTCATTCACAGCCTCTCCGTCTCTTCTCTTGTACAGAGAGCGAGATCCGGGTTCGACTGCAGAGCGCATCCCCATCCACCCGATGTAAGTGGTTACTGTCCTCTTGAAAAGAAAGAATCCAGGAATCCTGGGCTACCGCTCTGTGTGTGTGTGTATGTGTGCACGTGTGTGTGTGCGCACCTGTGTGTACCTTCACTCAATCATAAAACGTCTCTAAGGGCCTTTTGGGAGTCAGACTCTGGGCTAGGAGCCGGGGGTAAGGAGCTGAGTAAGTCACAGTCCCTGCTTAGGCTCACAGACTAGTGGGGAGACAGTAAACCAGCCAACCAGGAGAGGCTCCCTGGGGTAGTGTCGCTTGAAGGGACTGAAGGGTGGATGGGTTCACTCAGCCGATCCGACGTAAGATGAGAAGTTGGAGGAGCATTCAGTGCAGCTGAAGGAACAGGAGTAGGAGGGGACACAACAGGATAGCTAAGCTCAAAGAAGGGTCAGAAGTGGAGTGTGAGAGTTTGAACTTGATCTCAAATGCAGAGATTCCCCAGTCTCTGGCCACTGATTACGTTAGACTCCTTTAGTTCTTGTTAGGGGTTATTTGACATTGTGAAATGAGCCCGACTTTTAGGGCAGGAGCCAAGTACAAAGAGTAGGAAGAGAAAATGCTGCATGAGGCGGCTCAGCCTCATGGGGCTCACCCGAAGAGACCAATGCCTAGAGTCATGGGGTCTGACTCCAGGCCTGACGCTGTCTCACCTGAGTCCCTCCAGGCTTGGGAAGGGCTGAGCCCAAAGGATGGAGCTTTCAGGGGTGGGGGTGCCTGGATGGTCTTCCAGCTCGTGTTGTCTGTGAATCTGTCTGTCTCCTCTTACGCTCTGCCCATCACGATGCCTCCCTCCTTTCCTGTCTGCCACGTTGAGAAGCACAGGGAGCTTGCTCCACTAGATCACCTTGTTACAAATAATGTCAGCCAGACAGACATGAAATTAACTCACATGAAAGCAGCATAATATTTAGGGGTTATGGGTCACAGATCCCTTTTGACACTCCAGAGCATACAAGGTCAGGGACCCGACTCCCGAGGCGTCCTGTGCAGGGGATGAGACCACTGTTGAACCACTCGTTTCGAGGGGTCTGGTTCTCTAACTGCCCCGGGGTGTAGATCCTCCCCCCATCCAGGACGACAGGGTCTTGCAGCACAGAATCATCCCTGTGGTGTGTGATGAGGTCTAATTAGGAATATCTGCCCAGGACTTTGACCTCCTTGTAGAGGCACTGTATTTATGAGGCCATTAACATTACAAAGTGCCAGGTTGATAAGTGCTATAAATTGACAAAATGCAAAAATTATAAGGCTAACCAAAAATGTCACAGCCTGTGAAGCGGATGCCATCCTCCCAGTATTCAGAAGCCTTAAATGTTCCTCCCGCTGCAGTTGGACTCAGGAAAGAATCCGGGGCCTAATGGAAAATTGGGGGATTCTATTACAGGGACAGAATTGGATGAGGTTAAGCGTTTGCTCAAGGGGAGCCGATCAGCAAGCGTGAGCCCCACCCGGAATTCCTCCAACACCCTCCCCATCCCCAAGAAAGCCACTGTGGAGACCAAAACAGTGACGGCGAGCTCCCAGTCAGGTAAGCCCCGCAGCCTGGGCTGTCATGGAGGAACGGAACAAGGTGGCAGATTTGCCCTGGCGCAGGAATTCAACCATACCCTGGCAGGCCTGTCGGTCTGTGGCAGGGACTTCACAAAGCACTGAGCATTTGCTCTTCTTGCGGAGTGAAAATGTGGGCTGCGCTCTTCTGACTCCAGTCTGGTCAACCATCCCATGTGCTGGCTGCAGTCTGGCTCTATATCCTAGAGATTCTCTCCCAGGAAATTCTTGACATCTCCTGGGAACGTGTTGGCCAAGTTCCCCAAATGAAGACTGTTGGGCAAAGTTGTAGTATTTTCATTCATTCATTCATTCATTCATTCAGTGAATATTGATTACACGCCTCCTCTATGCCAAGCAGCAGGCACTGAGGAAAGGCAATGAACAAGACAGACACAGCCACTGCCCTCGTGGAGGTGAAGGCCTCTGGGGGAAGCCAGACAGATAACCTAGAGATGGTAGTCAAGTAGATTCTGTGGGAGGCAGAAAGGTGAATGAGCAGATCATTGGAGGGCGATAAGGAAAGAAGCCAGTTCTGCTATGATGCGAAGATTTCTTGTCATTCACCACTGAAAAAAAACCTGGAGAGTGTGATCTTCCTTTTGTTTTTTAATATAAAACCAAAACCTTGGGCCGGCCCGGTGGCTTAGCAGTTAAGTGCGCGTGCTCCGCTGCTGGCGGCCCGGGTTCGGATCCCGGGCGCGCACCGACGCACCGCTTCTCCGGCCATGCTGAGGCTGCGTCCCACATACAGCAACTAGAAGGATGTGCAGCTATGACATACAACTATCTACTGGGGCTTTGGGGGAAAAATAAATAAATAAAATCTTTAAAATAAATAAATAAATAAAACCAAAACTTCAGGGCACTTTATGACCTGCGTGGCTAGCTCCCTCTCATATAATAAATAGGCAGAATTGCCTTCATTTTTGAAGAAGCACCAAAACCGCCTCATGGGGGCAGAGTGCCCGTTGGCTCTGGCTGGCACATAGGAATGTTTAAGGAGGGTTTAACCAGAGAAGGCTGCCATCCGTGCAGTGTGGCCTTGGAATCAAGGGCCTCCCTACCTGCGTTGGCTATATGCCTAGAATTCTACTGTAAGGTACTCGCTGCAGGGGCCTCATTCGCTGCTTCCTGGCATCTTTGAAGGTAGAGTCAGCAACAGATAGAGAGTGAGACCCCATTGGTGGGAACAGCACACCAGGAGGTGGGGAGAGGGGCTTAGAAGGAGAAATGGGCAGATCCCAGAGCAAAATTTACCTACTTCAAATTTCACCAAGAAACAGCAAGAATTTCTAATCCAAGAGATCAAGTTTTCAGAGCAGCTCCAAGGTTTCAGATGGAAGTGGGATGACCAACTGCCCTGGTTTGCCCCAGACTGAGGGAGTTTCCAGGATGTGGGACCTTCAGGGCTAAACCAGGAAAGTCCCAGCAAACTGAGCCCACTGGATTACCCCAGCACAGGGTGCTGATTTATCTCTCACTGGGGCGTGTGCGTGCCTGTGTCTGTTTCCAGTGTCCGGCACCTATGACACAACCATCCTGGATGCCAACCTTCCCTCCCACGTGTGGTCCTCCACCTTGCCGGCGGGGTCCTCCATGGGGACCTATCACAACAATGTGACAGCCCAGAGCTCGTCCCTCCTCAACACCAATGCCTATTCTGCAGGATCGGGTACGTGACTCAAGGCGCACATCCCCTCCCCTTCTTGAACCCTCCACACATTTACCTGGAGCTGAATGACCTCTCCTGTATTTGCCATCCCCAAAGCTTCCTAAAGGGGTTTTCTGTGGCCAAGAGTCCCAAGATTTTTCCACTGGAACTTCAGTCCAATTCAATCCCTAAGGTGTTTCTTTTGGTGGGTCCCCTACAGAAAAGACTATACAGCACCGTGTATCAGAAAAAATGTAATGGGAAAGAGCATGAAACAGATGCAAGGAACCTAGTTTCACTCCACGTGGATTAACTGTGTGACCTTGAGCAAGTCATTTAACTTCTCTGGGCTTCCAGTGCCTTCTCTGTAAAACGGTCACTAACAAGAGGGGCTTTGGTAGAAACAAATGTCCACTCAAGGCGTGACCGACCTACGTCCGCCCCTTGGCTATAACTCAAGGTTCACCATAGACTAATGTTTGGTTCTATGCTGCAAGGCAAGAGCCTAAAGTTTTCTCTAAAAACGAAAATGTAACACAATATAAAAATGCAACGCTGGCATTTCTCCCAGTGCGTCTTTAGCCCTGTTCTGGGCTGGACATCCCTCTTACCAGCCTTCCTCCTCCTCTGCAGTCTTTGGAGTTCCCAATAACATGGCGTCCTGCGCTTCCACTCTGCACCCCGGGCTCAGCACCAGCTCCTCAGGTCAGTGCTCGCCAGCTTGAGTCACCTTTTCCAGGTGGTCTGCTTGAAAAAATAGGGATGCTCTCTCCTGGCGAGGAAAACGGAATGGTTTCTAGAGAAGATGTCCTTTCTGCCCAAGAGTGTGAGGACTTTCCTGCATGCACAGGCAGGCAGCACAGAAGCAGCAGCCAAGGGGATGCTTAGAAAGCGCAGAGCCTGCCCTCGGTCATAGAGACTGCTCGGCCCTGAGGGAAAGTTCTAGGGGGAGGGGGCCAGAGATCGCATCCTATGTGCTCATTCTGTGCTGGTCCTTTATTTTCTGGGAGAGGTGGAGAAGTGGAAGTAAAGGAGCTAAGTGAGGCATAGCCCGGGACATTCCAGGTGAAAAGCATTAATTTAGAAGGATCTTATCTCAGATCTTTTTATAAATATAGCAGTTCATTGGGAGCTCAAGTAATGTTCCTGCTAGCTTCCAATGCAAAGAAAATATTTATTCTATGTACATACAGAATACATACATCATAATAGCCTATATATAAATAAGTTTTCAGCCCACATCTTTTTTAAAAGAAATCTGCCTTCTCCCTGTGCTGTCGTGACTAATGAATATAATGATGTGGGCTTTCTTGATTGACTTGGCTGGTAGGTCTGCAAGTGCAAATTCAGCATTCTGGTTTTCACCACCTCCAATTGACTAGAGTCCCACCAAACCAAGAAGACAGCAGGTTCATGCCTCAGTTTTTTTGCCTTTGCAAAGTCCTGACTGAGGAAGGGGGGCTGATATTGGATCCATGATCTTCTGCCCCAAATACTATATGGGAGGGAATAAGAGAAGCTGTTAACCAGGTAGGAATGAGCTTCTGCACATTGTTAATGACAACCAACCAGCCTCTGAAATCATAATGGGGGCGAGGGGAGTTTTATGTGTTTGAATCAAGAGAAAGAGAGTTAAAGGGAAAACCAAGAGTTTGTCAAATCAGTACCTCCCGACCCCCGTTGTGTCTGTATCCCATGCTCACAGTTCCCACCCTGTGCACAAAGGCACCCCAGGGTGCTGCAGGGAACGGGGAGCCCCTGGGATATTTTAAAATTTCGAGGGATACAGCAACATCCGTCAGACCCTGTGCGAACTACTGCTATTAAGTTGTGTGGACCCAACTACTCAATAAATGGAACGATCAGTAACTTTTGGCCTGGGGTGGGGAGGTCGGGCGTAAAAAAAATTACTGTGTCACTTAGAATGTGCGAACTGAGAAAGTTTGGGAATCTCTGTCATATACAAAGGCATTTATCATGGAAGTGGTTTGGGGGGCTCCTAGGGGGCTTCTTTAAGCTGAGGGGCCTCCTCTATGCACCTGCGCTCACCTGTCCTCAATTCCTTTCACAGTGTTTGGCATGCAGAACAATCTGGCCCCCAGCTCATCAGCCCTGTCCCACAGCACGGCCACCACCTCCACAGGTCCGTAGCCACAGTTTGGAGCTTAGGGGCAGGGGAGTAACGCTTCTTTGCAGCTACAATTCACAAGATTCCTTTTCAGCAACTGAATTAGAGGGACCAAAATGTCCCTAAAAATCAGTTGACCTTTGCCACCAAAGAAACAGTCCCCTACTCCTCAACCTAGAGATGCCAACCTCGATCATTTGCTGGCTCAGACATGAGTGAAACAGCAGGGGAGCCTGTGGTACGGGGTGTCACCTGTATATCCCCATGTCTCACCAGTGGCCCCAACAGCCCACTGTCACTGGAAATCAATCGTCTGGCTAATTGCATGGTACACTCTCTGTGCAAACTTGGCAGAGGGGTACAGAAGAGGCATGAGGCTCAGCCTTTGCCCTCACTTGCTTGCTGTTTAGTTGGAATAGAAAGTCTAATACACATGAAACAGTTGGAGGATCCTGTAAGACATGAATCACGTTGTGCAGGGCAGGTGTTAGGGCTGTAGGAGTTCAGAAGGGAAGGAGATGTGGGAGGATCTAGGAGGACTTCATGGAGGAGGTGGCCTTTGGAACAGTCCTAGAAGGATGAGGATTATACTAAAGAAAGTACCATCTAAACTCTCATTGCTGCCCCTATGGCTGGAAAGAGTTGATTTCATTACCCATTATTATTCATTCCTTATCATTATTCATTATTATTGTCTTCCTCTCACCTGGGGAGGCTGGCTGTCTGCCAGGGCTGGTCAGGCTGCTTCTAAGGTACGTGGGCCACCCTCCCACACTGACCTCACTCGCTCAGTGGTTCCTCTCTTGCAGTGTATGGTGTGAAGAAAAACATGGCCCAGAGCCCTGCCGCTGTGAGCACTGGCGTGTCCACCTCTGCTGGTGAGTGCTGTGGGACAGGCTGGGAGAACCGCTCTGCGGTGACACGTGGCATATGGGAGGAGAGGATATAACCCACTGGTGGTCTGAGGTCCACAAACACGACTCACCCCAAGGGCCTCTCGGTTGTTGCCACGAGTGAGCACAGATGAGCATGCCCCCGACCTTACCTTGACCTTGCTGCCCAAGGCGGGCAGGAAGCTCCACCCTCCACGCCTGCCTGGGGTCAGGCACTTACAACCCAGCCCCCACTCTTGTCTAAAAGCCCCTGGCCTGCTCCTGTTACATGTTACCCATCGCAAGGGCCAGGGAGCCCGTCAGAAGCTGCCACACCCTCCCTACTCTCTGTAGCATCTTTATCAACTTGGGCTCACAGCACATTGAGGGCTATTTCCTCCTTTGCTCTGATCCTCGTGTGTTTCCCTCCATTCAACGATTCACTCATTCAAAAAATATTGACTGAGCACCTGCTATGTGTGAGACAGACACTGTTCTGAGGGCCCAGAGTGCAGACATAAATAAGCAGGCTAGATGCCTGACTGCACCAGGCTGACATTTCCAGCAGAGGAGGCAGATAACAAACAAGCAGACAAGTGCACAAGATAATTACAGAAAATGACATGTATTTGAAGGAAAGAAATAGTGAGGGGGTCGAGACAGGTGTGGCTGTGTGTTAGATGGGGTGGTCAGGGAAAGCCCCCCAAGATGCTAACACTTGAGACCTGAAGGGTAGAAATGAACCCAACAAGTTAATTAAAGAAGGGCCTGCTGGGGGCCGCCCCGTGGCGCAGTGGTTAAGTGTGTATGCTCTGCTTCGGCAGCCCGGGGTTCGCAGGTTCAGATCCCGGGCGCGCACCGACACACCGCTTGTCATGCCGTGCTGTGGTGGCGTCCCATATAAAGTAGACAAAGATGAGCACGGATGTTAGCCCAGGGCCAGTCTTCTTCAGCAAAAAGAGGAGGAATGACATAGGATGTTAGCTCAGGGCTGGTCTTCCTCATAAAACAATTAAAAAAAAAAAGTAGGGCCTGCTGACAAGGGGACTTTTGTCCATTCACTAAAGACCCTATAACTTCTGGGTGGGGAGGCAGCCCCACAGGCCAGCTGCCCAGTGCTTCTGACATTGGCCCAACCTGCTGATGGCCAGGCCCAGCCAGGCAGAGGAGGGCGTCTCTGGTCCCCAAGATGCTTCTTCGTAACCACTGCCAGCAAGATCAGGAGACCCTTGGACTAATCTCTCTTTTTCCTCTGCCCTCCTTCTCTTCCTTCTCCTTCCTCTTCTGGCTATTTCTTCCCTCTCCCTCCTCCTGGCACCTTTTCCTTCCTCCTCGCCCACTTCTTTCCAGCCGGCACCACAAGTGTCCAGAATGATGAGCTCTTGCACAAGGACTGTAAATTCCTGATCCTGGAGAAAGACAATGTGCCTGCTCCCAAGAAGGAGATGGAGCTGCTGATCATGACCAAGGACAGCGGGAAGGTCTTCACTGCCTCTCCCGCCAGCATCTCTGCAAGTATGTGGGCCCACATGACTCAGGTCCAGAAGAAAGGCAGACAGTATAGGAGACCGAGTGTCCTAGCAGGGTGGTTTGACATGTTTTAATAATGAAACCACAGTCGTCCCATTCAAATGAAAAATGCCTGCTGAATAGGGTGTCCCAGGGTCTGCCCTGAATGCAGACAAGGCAGGAAAATTCCAGCAAAGAGCTCCCAGAGGGGTTTTTGGGGAATAGAAGTCTCCTAACCATAGGTACAGATGGGGGGACTAACCCCAGGAAAGCTGGACCGTCTTCCTACCAGGCTAATTTACCTTATCCTACCTCCACAAGCAGGAGAGGGTATGGGGCAGGGTTGGGGGAGTGGGGAAAGAATATTCCAGATTATCATGGGTTGTGTGCACAGCTTCTTTTTCAGAGGACACTCTAAAAAAGGAAAAGCAAGCTGCCTACACTGCTGACACCTACCTAATCTCAGAAGCTAATGGTAAGGGCAAATCTGATCACCGTCCACTCTGACCTCAGCCAATCCTTATGTCATTTATTTGTCTTCTGAGACCTAGCTACTTAAAGTGTGGTTCCTGGACCAGCAGCATCAGTAACACCTGGGAGCGTGTCAGACATGCAGACTCCCGGGCCTAGCCCGGACGTGCTGAGTCAGAGGCTACACTCTAACAAGCCCCCGGTTGATTCATGTGTGCAATGATGGAAGCACACGCCTCCCGTGGCCTTTCTGAAGCCCGCAGAGGCATTTTTTCTCACTCATCCTCCCATAATTTTCAGAACTAATAGAAAATGCTTTGCAAAGCACCTGCTAGCTTTATTTTTTTTCTTCCCAAATATCTGGATTCTCTCTTGGATAACTGCATTTCTCCACATGCTCTGGGTCCTGTAGAATCTCTCCAAATCACTGATTTCAGGGAGGTCCGTAAAGGAAGGGAAAAGTTAAGTCATAGAACATTTTGAGATAAATGCAAATGAAATTAGTTCCAGTGTCACAAGGCCTGACTCTAAATCTTCTAAGTTAGCAGTTCCCTACATTTTAGGGCTGGAGGTGGGGCTGTGGAGCCAAAAGACCCTTTTCAGAATCTGATGAAAGCTGTAAACAATTTTCCCAGAAAATTCCACACATGCCACAAACACTCAATGGTCAAATAGCATTAGGGACTCCTGAACAGCCCTCCTCCAAGCCCATCCTTGCCGTTCGGTTCCCCTCACCCCAGGTTAGGAACCTGTGTTTCCTTAACCAAGAAATCAAGAGTCATTTCTCACAAGCACATTTACTGTTTGAATGCAAACGTCACCCCTACCGTGGAACTCTGAAAATGTCTTGGGCTTTAAAAGCTCAAGGTCGAAAGAGGGTTATGAACACCATGCTTTTTCACACCATTAATTGTCTGCCAAGCCATGTCTTCATCAATGTAACGATTACAAACATCAGATCAGCGAGGACTGAGTTAACGGATGTTCCTGTGCGTTGCTGTTCCGCGAGGTGGCTGGGGGACGCGTTTACCTCAAGCCCTGCCCCAAGTCAATGCATGCACGGGCTGTCTTGTGGGCTCCTGCAGTTTAAAGGCTCAGGTCAACACCTGTGTTCTTGGGGTTTGTCTTTCAGGAGACGTGAAGACCGTGTCCACAAAGGCCAAGGCCGCCTCCACAGGTGGGTGACACCGGCGGGTCCTGCAGGGACGGGACGGATAGGGCTGGTTATGGTGAATGAACAGGGAACAGCACCCTAGCCTGGAGCCAGTGCACACAGGAGCCCCACCTCTAAAGAGCTCCCCTGAATGCTCAAAGGGAGCATGGTGGAGGGGAGGGAAATGGAGGGGGCAGGCTGCAGAAGGAGCTTAGCTCAGGGGATGGTGCCCACAGGCCCCGCCGTCCCTGCTGGGCAGGCACTGTCTGCCCTTAGGTCCAGGGTCTCCCAACACAGCAGGAGTCACACAATGGGGCTACTCTGGTGTCTTATAGAACCACCCCCCACGGCTTCAAGGTGACACTAAGACCACACACATCTCCAGCCCCTTATATTTTCCTAATTTGCTCCCACAGTTTTTTGAGAGAAGCAGATCAGAGGTTATCACCCCATTTTAGACACTAAAAAGAAAAGCTTCGTGGCCACCCCTTAAGTGCTGAATGTAATTCTAGGCACTTGGGGATTACAAAGAAAGAGCCATGTGACCTGAGACGTGCAGATGGGAATGCTTTAGATTTGGGCCAAATAAAATGCAGGAAGTTGTGGCAGATCAATATTCCTAATAGAGAGTTTAAACCTAGTGCTGTGTGCTACATCCTCTGATAATGACTTCACGTGCCTTGTCTCATTTCATTCAACAATCATCCTGTGAAGTAGGTAATCTTTGAACCTCTTAATAAAAAAGGAAACAGAGAGGTTAAGTGGCCTTCTCAGGGTCACACAGCTCAGGCCCAGGATTGTCAGATTTCTGCTCTTCACCAGCCATGACCCTGTGTTCATTCCAGGAGCCAGCCCCACTCTTCACAGAGCTGCACAGGAACCTGAAGGCCCCCACTCACACTCACTCAGGCCCACAGGAAGTCACCGAAAGCCGGAGGATTTGGAGGGAAGAGGGCAAGAGCCGCCTGCATTCACCTTACCCTTCCCTTCTCTTCCGCAGATTTCCATGGCTACGACCACCATGGCGGCGGCGGCGGCGGTGGTGGTCGTGGTGGCGGCGGTGGCGGTGGCGGGGGCCCGTGGGGGGCGGCACCAGCCTGGTGCCCCTGTGGTTCCAGCTGCAGCTGGTGGAAATGGCTGCTGGGCCTGCTGCTCACCTGGCTGCTGCTCCTGGGGCTGCTCTTCGGCCTCATTGCTCTGGGTACGTGGGGACGTGGCAGGGCAGCAGGCCCCACCGCCCGTTCAGAAGGGCAGGAATGTGTCCCAAGTATCAGAGGCCCGGGGGCCTGAGATCATCGGTGCAGACCCCTGTCACTGTAGATGAGGAAACTGAGGCTCCGGGAGACACCGGGCCAAGGTCGCCCAGCTGCTTAGTGGCAGAGCTGGGATTCCAATGCAGCTCCTGATTGCCGGCCCAGGGCCCTCTGTCCCTGTAGCGGTCTGTGCTAAGCATTTGACTGCCCTTAATAATCGGGCCATACCTCTACATAGCCTTTTTTCAATTTTAATTTCATGTGTACATCATTATATTTCAACCTCTGTGTAAACCACATTGTGTTCCCCACCAAAAGTCTAGTTTCTGTCTGTCACCATACAAACGTCCCCCGTCCCCTCTGGTAACCACCAATCTGTTCTCTGTGTCTATGCGTTTGTTTTGTTTTGTTTTAATCTTCCACACATGAGCGAAATTATACGGTATTTGTCTTTCTCCATCTGACTTATTTCACTTAGCGTAATGCCAAGGTCCATCCATGTTGTCACTAACGGCAAGACTGCACCTTGTTTATGACTGAGTAAATAATGCTGCAGTGAACACCGCGGTGCAGATACCTTGTCGAGTTAGTGTTTTCGTGTTCTTTGGATACATACCCTTGGCTGTCCACGCTCTGTTGGCTCCTACACCAGCTCTCGGGGAGAGTGAGGGCCACCTCTGTCACCATCTCAGATGAGAAGACTGACTCCCAGGGCAGGTTTCTTTAAGGCTCTGTGATGATTTTGAGTAGCTTATCCCTCTGGCGGCCACGACAGACTGTCTCTGCGTAAATATTCCAGTAAAATGTCCCCAGCAGCATGAAGAAGCCACCACAGACCCCAGAGCCCCCGTTTCAGGCTCCCTTGAGGAGTGAGTGTGTGCCTGGAAGGCACCCGCTCCTGCCCTTCAGGCTGACGCTGCCTCGTGTGTCCGTTTCAGCCGAGGAGGTGAGGAAGCTGAAAGCGCGCGTGGACGAGCTAGAGAAAAGCAGCAGCCAGATGCGGATTGTGGTCCAGCCGAACAGTGAGGCTCAGCTAGAGAAGGTTGTTGCACCTGAGATGAGAACAGGCATGGGAAAAGTTGTGCTTGACAGCCAGAGTCAGGAGGAGCTCTGGAAATTTGTGTGGAACAAGCTGATGACAGAACAAGAAAACGGTGAGTGCCTGGCAGGGCAAAGGGCCAGTTGGCTCCAGTCACTGACTCCTTTGCCTCTCCTCGTTCAGGGGACTCTCAAACTCTCTCCTTGTTCAGTCCTCTGACGGCCCTGGGAGGGAGGGAGGATCAGTGTGTGAGCCCATTTTACTGCTGGGAAAACTGAGACCTGGAGAGAATTGCCCAAGATCACCCAGCTAGCACACTTTAGAATCTGACTGCTAGTCCTAGCCTCAGTTTCTTTCCACTGTACCGCGCGCGTGTGTGTGGGTGTGTGACACAGAAGATATGCAGCTAACGCAGGGTTTTCTTTCCCTTGTAGGAAATCTCCGAGGAAGCCCTGGCCCTAAAGGTATCGCGGTGGATCGAGCCCTTTCCCTGCTCTCATTTCCTGCGCTTGGAGCGGGTTTTCTGGGTGGATTGGAAAACTTTTCTTGTTTCCAAATTGAAAGATGAGCAGTGGGAAGATCTGACGGCATCTGTTGGGAGGGTTGAGAATTGGCTTTGTAGTCGGAACATCCTGGAATGGGAAGGGACCTAACGTGTCATGTAAGAGAGGCCCAGCAACGTGCCCAAGTGACACAAACAGAGACGTAAGGGGCCCACGCCACATGCCAACTCACCTTGAAATGCAGTTTAGGGAGTGTCAGCTGGTCTTAAAATACCAGGAGAGAAGGGCCCTTGGGTTCTCAGCTCATCTCACAGTTTTCGTATCTTTCTGATTTTAGGTGACATGGGAAGTCAAGGCCCCAAAGGTAAATAGAACATAGAAATTTTTACCTTAAATATTTGTGAGGGTTGATGGTTTAACGCAATCAGCAAGTGTCAGAAAACCCGCCTCACGCTCTCCCTGCCATCCCCCTTCTGTGGAAGGACCCGTGAGCTGCGGGGCAGTCTGCAGACCCTCGGGTGTTTAGGGGGTAGGGGGCTTCATGACAGCACACGGCTCTACATCTCTGGGGCCTCACTGTCCCTGGCCCCTTCTCGGGGCTCCAGGGACTCCCAGAACAAGGACCCTGAGGTGACCCATCTCAATGGCCCGCCCGGCTCCAAAGGGCAGTCTGAGGGCCTGCTGCTACACATCCCCCACGGAGATTTCTAGAAATACAGATTCCCGGGTCCTGCCAGGAATCAGATGCTCCTGAATCAGACGCTCGGGTGCTGGACCTCCCTCCACCAGGTTAACTCTGTTGAACCAGGTCAGGGACCACCACTCCAGGGGAGCAGCCTGCTCTCGGGGGTCTTAGCCAAGGGACCAGCAGTCAGGACCCCTGTGGGGGAAATCCAGTAGGAGCAACACCACCTGCCTTGAAGGGGTGGGCAGTCTAGCAGGGAGGCAGGACATATTCCAAGGAAAAGGTGCCCCACAGTCTTAGTTGGGGGACAATCACGTGCTAACTTGCGTGGCACACACTTATGTGTGGTAGGAAGTTGATACGTTCCCTCAGAAAAGTGGTTTGACAATCAGTGGGACAGGCCCATGGATGGGAGGAAGAGGTTTTCAGTCCCAATGACCACAGCAGAGCCCGTTGATCTCGCCGAGTGGAGTCTGCAAACTTCAGTGTGTATGGAATTGCCAGAAGATTCTGGGCCTCACTCCCAGAGCCTCCGATTCAGGAGGTGTGGGTGGGCTAGGAGTCTGCAGTCTTGACCACCCCAGGTGGTTCTGAAGCCAGGGGTACACCGTCCATTCTGAGAATCACTGTCAAAGTGACAGGGTCACCTTCTCTCCCCAGCTCCACCTCCCTTCCAAAGAGCTCCCAGTGCAGGAATTGGCGCTCTTCCATTTGGTGGCCCTCCACTTCTCTTCAGGAGTCCCTGTCCCCATGCACACACCCTGGGTCACCGCCTCAGCCCCTCTTCCCCAAGGCTCCGGCCTACAGGCCATACACCCCTCCTGACCATGCTGGGGATGAGGACCGATGGTCCCGGAGCCCCGGAGCCCGGAGTTGCCACACCATACAGGACCCCCAGTTAAATCTGAATTGCAAATAAACAAGTATGTTCCATGGGCACATACTTATAGTGAGAAATTAATTCAATGTTTACCTGCAATTCAAACTTAACTGAGCATCCTGCGGCTTTATTTGCTAAATTTGGCACTCCTACCTGAACTCCATCAGGGGCTCCTTTAGGTAATTGGCCCGAGTTCTCCGGCTGACATCTCTCTTTTCTCTGTTCCCGCAGGAGATCGAGGGCTCCCTGGGACTCCAGGTGTGTAACCTCTGATGGCGGGGCTGGGATTGCGGGCTCTCGGTCCCGGCTCCCAGTTCTGGGAGAAAAACAGGGCTGAGAAATTCTTGTGTATCCACAGGTATCCCTGGGCCCTTGGGCCACCCAGGTCTACAAGGCCCAAAGGGACAAAAAGGCAGCGTGGGTAAGAACCGCTTTTTCTATTCACTCATTCCCTGATTCATTCACTCATTCAGTAAACGTTTATTAAGTGCCTGCTGTGTGCCAGGCCCTGTTTTAGGTGCTGGGGAGACTTCAGTGAACAAGACAGAGAAATCCCTGCTTACATTTGGGCGGAGGAGAAAGACAATAGACGTGATAGATAAGTGAGGTTCATGCAGGGCAGGAGGTGGTTCGTGAAATAGGCAAGATGGAGCCTGGCAGGGCAGTGGGAGTGCCGAGGGGGTGATTTTAAATAGGGCCATCCAGGAAGGCCTCCCTGAGAAGGTGCCATTTGAGCAAAGACTTGAAGATGGTGAGGGATCCCGGCATAAGGAGATCTGGGGGGCACATTCCAGGCAGAGGGAGCAGCCACAGGCCCGGGGCAAGGATGTGTCTGCCAGTCAAGGAGCAGCGAGGAGGAGGAGGAGGGGAAGAGTGAGGGAGAGGTGGAGGCCTCAGCTAGAGCCCACAGGGATGCAGAGAGTCCAGCGGGAGGGGCAGTGGGCGAGGCCGGCCATGTGGGCCTCGGAGGCCCTTGTGAGGACTTCCCCTTTCACTCCCAGTAAGCTGAGAAGCCACGTGCAGGTTTGAGGCAGAGGTGGGACATGATGCTCTTGCATTTTCAAAGCATGGCTCTGGCTTCTGGGTTGAGCCTGGGCTACAGGGGGCAGGGGAGAAGCAGAGAGACCAGCGCGGAGGCTCCCGCGGCACAGAGTCCTAACTCTGAGGTGGCCATTCCTGTCTTTAGGAGAGCCCGGCATGGAGGGACCCATGGGCCAGAGAGGGCGAGAAGGCCCCATGGGACCTCGCGGTGAACCAGGGCCTCCTGGATTTGGAGAGAAAGGGGACAGAGGTAAGGGGAGATTCCTTCACCAGGAGGGGTAGCTACATCGTGCTTCCTTCTTACATCTTTCTCCCTCCCCCCTTCTTTCACTAGCATGTGCTGAGCACCTGCCTTGAGCCAGGAGCCCGTGTCTGTGCTGGGCCCTGTGGAGACAGTGGGCTAATGAGGGGGCCTGGGCAGGGCTGCAGGTTCAGGCCTGGGGCTAAGAACCCCGCAGTGCTCGGAATCCACTGAGAATGCGGTCACAGAGATAAAAGGTCTTCCCTAGTGTGGGGGGAGGAATCAGGGCAGAGCGGGGAGCTCCGGGCAGGGCAGGGCCTGACGGAAGGCAGTGTGGGGTACAGGCCCTCGAGCCTCTTGTGGCTGGAACCAGGCAGGGAAGGAGGAACAGAAAGCCCCAGACACAGGCCTCGTCCTGGAGGACGCTGGGAAGATTTTGCAATTAGATGCTTAACTATGAGTCTGCTTTCATCAGGAGAAACCAAGCACAGACACCAGAAATTCTCTCAATGCCAAAAGATCCTGAGCAAGAACCTTTATTTTTAACTTCACTTTCTCTTAAAAATATTGCTCAGCCAGGCAACAAATATTTATTGAGTGCCTACTGGGTGTCAGACTTCATGGAATATAAGGGCTCTGGGGTAGAAATTGAAGGTGTTTGCTGACTCGTGGCCTCACAGAGGCACCAAATGGATCAGGGACCACCAGCAGGGTGGGAAGTGTCCCTTCCACACACACACACGTATGATACCATGATACCACTGGGCTGGGCGGGCAACCAAACTAGGGGGCTGCTCTCAGATGCTCATTTCTCCCCAGGAGCTGCTGGTGACCCTGGTATTCAGGGCCCACCTGGTGTCCCAGGTTCTGTGGGTCCCAAAGGTAAGTCAAGTGCCCAAGTTTGCCACGTCCAGGATGGATCACAGAGGTCCAGGCGCTGGCACCCCAGACAGTCCTAACCCACTGCCCCAGGCCTGTGCAGGTGTGATGGGCCCAGGGACGGTTCCCCCACAAAGGAGTCCCTAGGGGTCAGGATTGGGGCTATATTTTTGGCTCCGTGGTGGATTGGGGGCCATATTTCCATCTGTCTTCAATGGCATCTAAGTAGGTAGATGGATCAGGAAATCAGAAGTCAGACAATTTCCTCACCTGGCTGGGACCCAGATGCACACATTTGAGAGCAACATGTCTGGACAACCCAGGCGAATGGGGCCTTCTCACAGTTTGATGCCCATCTGGTCGCTTCTCCTCCCTACCCCTGCCCCAGCCCAAAGGTTTTACTCTGACTGGGAAGGAGCAAGGGGTCTCCTGATCCCACTCAGCTGCAGCTTCCTCCCTAAGGAGGACTTTGCACTGGGGTCACTCCTGGACCCACTGACTCCAGGTCCTGGCAAGAACCCACATTGTGTGGGCGAGACACACACACAGCCCTCACCTGGAAGTGAGCTCCCACACCTTCCACCTGCCCTTCACCGAGGAGTCAGATGTCCTTGCCCTGTGCCTGACCCTTCTGATAATTGTTGTCTTGTCCTCAGGTTCCAGTGGTTTTCCTGGCCCACCGGGTCCCCCAGGTCAGTTCTTATAAATAGATGCTATTTCTGGGGCAAGAAAGGGATGTTAAAAGGAAAAACAAACATTTTTAAAGCAAAAGAAGCAATTATAAAGAGAGCCACCTGTAGACACAAAACTCACGTCCACTCATGTGCCCCTGTGGCGGAGGTCAGGTACCTGGGGGTCCTGTGAGATCCACTCTCACCTGGCTCAGGGCATGAGGCCCTCCAGCAGCTTCAGCAGCAGCCAGTTCCCTTCCTGCCTTGATCTGAGCGAGTGCCTGCCTCTACCCCATCCCCTGTGGGTCAAAGAGCTCATCCTGCCATCTTGGGAATCTTGAGCTGCAGCCCACCCTGTAATGCAGACCAATGTCTCTGCCAGGGCCCATGAAGTGTCCTCATGCCCCGGGCCTGGTAATTGCAGGGGCAAGGAACCAGACCAGGATGATGGATCAGGGAAGTGGGGAGGAATCCGTGGAGAGCAGCCCTTGACTTTTACTACAGGGTGTGTGTACCTGTGTGTCTGTGCATGTGTGTGGGTGTGTGTCAGTGTGTGTGTCTATCCCTTCCAAAGCTGGGGACACCTGCATGGTTTTCTCTGCTTGCAGGCGCTGTAGGTCTCCAAGGGCTCCGAGGTGAAGTGGGACTCCCTGGTGTCAAAGGTAAGCTGGGGGGAGTGGGTGGGGGTAATGGGATGTCACCCTGTAGATGCCTCTCACTCAAGAAGGAGGCCTGGGGGACAGGGAGGGCCTGATGGGCATTACCAACAACATGTGCAGGCCAACAGGTGAGCGAGGGGAAGGGGAGGTCGGACAACGGGGGAACCTGTCTTCAGACACGACACTGCCGCTTCTTGGTCATCCCTTCCAGGGCTCTTTACAGCAAGGTGTCCATTTCCTTTTCAGGTGACAAAGGGCCTACGGGACCACCAGGACCCAAAGGTATGTTGCTCCCGCTGCCACTCAGACATCACCACAGTCTGCTGACTCCTGGGAACCCAGATGTGACCCCTGCCCGTGGGTCCAAGAACGCAGATGATACTGGCTCCTGGACCCCAGGGCTGGGAGGGATCCGAGAGCTCACTGTAGTCCAACCTCTCAGATAAGGAAACTGAGGCACAAAGAGGGAAAACAAAGTAGCAACGTCACAGTGCTGCAGTTGGTGGTCCTCGGCACGGCGAGGTTGCAGCATTGAGGCATCTGCCCTCTAGTCTGGCCCCCCTTGTGCCCACAGCACCCATGTGTGCGACAGCAGGGGCGGGGGTCAGTTTGTGGGTGGGCTCTGACCCTGGGAGAGATCAAATGTGTTCTCGCCAACATTTGTAGCTAACGGATAAAAGGAGAACTATTCCTCAGCCAGGGCCCCTCTGACTGGGTGAGATTGTGTTCCTTGCTCCTCACTGACGCTTCCTCCTCCCCCATCCCGTATTTGTTTTAGGTGACCAGGGTGAGAAAGGACCCCGAGGTCTCACAGGTCAGTCCCACACAGGAATCTACTTCAATCCATTGAAGACTTTTTGTAAATTCACTGGGCCCTGGAGTTGGGAAAAAATACAGAAGTATGAGACAGAGTCTCTGTCTAAAAACCTTGAGGGAGCTTGCAATCTAGAAAAAATATAGACAAGACAAAATAAAGGACTGAATGGAGTATAAGCCAGCATCAAAATGTATGGTCCAGACAGTAACGTTTGGGGCAGAAAAGGGAGTTATGATTGCCTCTGATTCTTTTGAGGACTCCAGTTGGGAAAATTAAGCTCTTCCCATAGTAGCAGAAAGTTTGCACTACTTGTACCCTCTCAACCACTTACCTCTTGCCAACTTGCCTGATTAAAAAGGAAATTAATAGTAACAGTGCTTTGGCTACAAGGGGCAGCTCTCTGATGCCGAGGAAATAAGACTCCTGCACTGGCCCCTTCAGACCAGGCGTGGCTTCTGGGCCAGTCTCTGCCTGCTGCACTGGGGCTGGGGAGGGCCAGGGGGCCCTGAGCACAGAATCAAAGCAGACCAGCATCTGGTTAGAGAGGATGCAGGCTTAGGGGTGGGTAGGGAGAGTGGAGCATCCCACCACTGTCAAGCACACATAGCTTGAAAGCCTCCAACCAGCTAGCCCGTTTCCTTTGCAGGCGAGCCAGGCTTGAGAGGTTTGCCTGGTTCCGTGGGCGAGCCCGGGGCTAAAGGAGCAATGGGTGAGTATCCCCAAGGGATGAATGCAGTGGTCTCTCCCATTCCAGTCATTATCATGGCCCTAGAGTGGAGATCCTTCTACAGCTGCCTCTCCTGTTCTCTAGGCTGCCCATCCCCTGGTAGAGGCTCCATTTACAGGCCATTTCTGGGTCTGGGCAGCCCTCTTGGGGCTCAGAGCTGCAGCTGCCTCTGTGGGTTTCTCACTGCTCTAGAGGGGCTTTGCAGGGCACAGCCCATCCACCCTGGTTCCTGCCACTAAGCCACCCAAGCCCCTGGGGAGGACAGACAGGTGTTGAGGTCCTTTGGAACCTCGGTATTCCAGGTACCCAGATCCAGTGTTCAGCCCTTTTGCTGACCCTTACCGAGGGGCCTATCAGCCAGGACCTGGAAGCTGGCCAAGGACCCTCAGAGGGCCAGGCGTTTAGCACGAAGTCCTAGAAGGGTTTAAGCCCAAGCAGTGGGGATGTACTCACTACCTCATTCATTTAACAACTGTCAGGAAGCACTGTCTGCATGCAGGACGCTGTGCTGGGCAGGCAGATGCTTTACCTCCCTCAAGGGGAGATAATGCTGTGTGAGGCGCCGAGCGCCATGAAACTACGATAGAGAGTCTGCGAGGATGCAGTAGAGAGAGAGATTTCCCCCAGCTGGAAGGATGAAGGCGGTGGCATTTCAGCTGGTCCTAAAAAGTAAAGAAGACTTATAATTTCCATCAATTTGGAAAATTCCACATAGAGACAACAACATGAATGAGGAAAGACCAAGAAGTGAGAAAAGCAAGACCTGGTCCTAGAAGGATACCAGTGGACAGAGGTTAGGCTAATGCCCAGAGCAGAGCAGACGGGAACGTGGAGGACCTCGACTCCCAGGAGCTTGAGTAAATGAGGCCGACGTTTATAGAGCATCTGGTGTGGGCCTAGTCTCACAACGGGTGCTGGAGATGCAATGAGGATAGACAAGTACTGGTTTAGGAGAAGAGGGCAGGAGGAAAGCTGGGGGTGACAGTGACCAGGCCTCTTCCAGGGTTGCTGGTTACGGGAAGGGCTGCGCGGGCTCCTACCCAGGAGCAACTTGCTGCGAGGCTGTCGGGCAGTGGCGGGAGGGAGTCCCAGAGTAGCTCCCGGAGGCCCTGATACACCGTGGTTCTGCTTTCCTAGGACCCGCTGGCCCCGACGGACACCAAGGCCCAAGAGGTTGGTCACTGATCTGCTCTCCTCACTCTCCCTGCCTCCCCACCTACCACTCCCAGCCCTGCCCACATCCCAGCACGCAGCCCCCATGCCCCTAGTCATAACGCTGGAGGGGCACACTTCATGTGGAAATTTGCAAGGTCCAGTCTTGTGCCGCTTCGCCTTTCCACCTGCCAGCAAGTTACTCAGTAAGACCCCAAGAAACCATCAGCTGTGCTGGCCAGTTTAGCTTTCCCAAAAGGAAAACATTTCCATGTTGGCCATGCTCTCTCTAGGTGAACAAGGCCTTACAGGGATGCCTGGAACACGGGGCCCACCAGGACCTTCTGGAGACCCAGGAAAGCCAGGTAACAGAGCGGAAAGAGGGAGCCATGGCCTTGCTCTGTGTGTGTGTGTGTCTGTGTGTGTGTGTCTGTGTGTGCGCGCGCACACCTTATCCCACTTTCCTCCAGCAGTTCAGCAGGGAACTGCCATGACTGCTGGCTTGTGCTGTGTGCAGTGGCTGTGGGTCCTGACACCTCCAAGTCACCAAGTCTGGCAACTGGGAAGAGAGAGATTAGCAGCTGAAAGCAAGGGGTTCTAGACAGGGGCAAGGAGTCTCTTAAAAACTGCAGAGTTGAACGCCACCCCACTACCTTGCTCCTCTGAGCCCTTCTGCTCCACTTCACCTCCCTCGGGCCACATCTGGACCCTCACCAAAACCCACCAGTCTGAGGAGAGAAGCCATTGTTAGGGTCTCCACCGAAGGCCCAAGAGAAGCAAGACGCTCAGGGCTGCAGGAGGAACAAATCAAAACAAGTCAAGAAAGCTGGGAGGCAAGGGGATGCTGTGAGAACCAGGGGAGCCTCCTGGCTCCTTTGGCAGGTCACGGATGGGAGGCGCCAAGGGAGGGAGCCTCGGGGCAGCATTAGGGCTCTGTGAGAGTATGGGCTTTCTGTGTTCATGGCTCTCAGACGCCAAAGGGCCTGTGACCCCAAACAGGCTAAGAACCATTGCCCAATGGAGCGATGGGTCACTTCACTGCAGAGTCCAAAGAACTGCTCTTTGTCCAGTGCTGGGGGCACCCCGGAGTCCACCTGCCCCAGACGGGGTTTGTCCTCCCTCACCCACCAATCCCTTCCACGGCTCCTGCAGCTGAGGGTGTGGCTCCTCAACCCTTCAACTCTCCCCTCCTGTGTTTTATTTTCTGTAGGTCTCACAGGACCCCAAGGACCTCAGGGTGAGTCATCGGGTCTCTCTCACCTCCAAATGCCACCTGCCAAGCCCCCCACTGCCAGCATTCGGCAGATGCTTCTCCAGTCACCTTAGAGTCTCCTCTCCTCCCCTCACTCTCCCAGCAAAAGTGGGTTCAAGTCCTTTTACTGTGAGTCTTGAGAAGCACCTTAGGAAGGAAAAATATGCACAGAACAATCTAGAAAGCCATTCTGGGAGAAATGAGGTTAGATCACGTGCCCATTCTGTGTGCCTGAGCCCCGGTTCCCTCTGGTACGGGAACCCCCGAGAGGAGGCTCCGAGCACAGGAGTTCCATTAGCCCCACAGAGGCCCACACCCCCATCCGCATGGTAGGGAGTGGGAGTGCGCCTCCTGCGGAGGGCCCAGGTTCTCTGGGACAGCCTCCGTGTCAAAGTCTGTCCTATAGTTGGACCAGTGTGCGCCCATCTGGATTTGAGAAATTGTCGCCACACCCAGCCCCAAATCCTAGAGGCAGTTAGGCAAAGATGTAAAATGAAATCAAGCAGCAGGTCCCCCCAAAAGTTGGGCACACAGGGACATCCTTCAAAGGCTCCCTGGTGGAGCTCAGGAGACAAAAGCAAGGAGGGGTGTTGCATCAGATACAGGAAGCCCAGCGCCTACACCCCTACACTGCAGGCTACAGGGGGCTCATAACCCAGAGGGACTGGGATCCCACAAAGCTGAGTCCGTAGGCCTCCGCCTCCCTCAAGCCCAGCTGTTGCCCCATTTCCCAGAGAGGGAGAAGGGCTCAGAGCAAGAGGCTCCCCCAGGGGCTGCCTGGGCTAAAGCAGAAGGCAAAGCCAGGTGGGTCTCCAGGCTTCGACCAGCAATTGCAGCTGTGCCGAGTGCCCGAGTGCTAGTTACTGCTAGAGGGTGTCTGGAATTGCTGACTTAATCATCCTTACTTAATCATCCTGACTCACTTGTTTTTAATCACATCAGGACTTCCTGGTAACCCCGGCCGACCTGGGGCTAAAGGTAAGTGATTTTCCAAATCAGATGTTCTTTCTTTTCACTAGCCATTTTGTAGGAGGGGAGGGATTGGCAGGAGGGAGGCCCCTCTCAGGCCAGAGCCTGGATCAACAGTGGCATCTAGTGGCTTCAGTGGAAGGCTGTGAGGCCTGGGAGCCAGGGATTTGTTCTGATCAGCTAAGCCCTGAATCCCCAGCCCCCACTCCACCCTGCAATCCTGGGCCTCACTTTGGTACCCTGATGTCTCCAGGCCATTGTCGGAAGAGAATCTGGAAGGGTGCTGCCCCCCCCCAACGCCTTTCCATCCTCTGCCTTGCCTCTAAAATGCCCCCACTAGTGCTCTACCCCCCTCACTTAGGCTTGGTCCCCTCATAACGTGACTCTTTCCTGGGACAGGAACCACCTTTCGGCCTTTTCATTCCACAGGCCTCGGTGTGACTGGGTACACCACATCCTTTCTGAGAAACTGAGGAGGCTCTAATGGAGGCAGGGAGGAGCATCTCAGATGCTACTCAGAGGACAATGTCAGAATTATCCTCAGGGGTCAGAGTTCTAAGAGGAGAAGTCATCCTTAAGGGTCAGAGTTCTAGAGCAGAAGTCATCCTGAGGGGTCAGAGTTCCGGAGGGGAAGTCACCCTCAGGAGTCAGAGTTCCAGAGGGGAAGTCACCCTCAGGAGTCAGAGTTCTAGAGGGGAAGTCATCCTCAGGGGTCAGAGTTCTGGAGGGGATGTCATCCTCAGGGGTCAGAGTTCTGGAGGGGAAGTCATCCTCAGGGGTCAGAGTTCTAAGAGGGGATGTTCTAACAAGGGAAGTCATCCTCAGGAGTCTGACAGGGGCCCACTTGGTGACTCCTAAGTGGTATGACGCTCCTGTCCTGTTTTGCTCCTCTACCATTGTCCAGTTCTGCACCATCAGACCCCGACTCTGAGCCAGTCCAGGGATAAACAGTGCTCAGGGACACTCTTTCTCTTTCTGTCTCTGTGACCCCATGTTCCTGAATCCTGATGTTCTGTGGAGCTGCATCCTGTCATGAGCAGTCACTGTCATCTCGGGGGGACCCTAGGATGAAATAACTACTTTCCAGAAACTATTTCCATTGATTGATTGGGCCAAGGAGTTCTTTCAGGACAAATAACTGTAATTCCAAAATAATAACAACTGAGCTCATACATCCCAGGCAGACAAATCTCTGGGTCCATAGATCTGCTCATGGTGATGGCACCTGTAGTAAGAGACTTGTGGGTTTGGGGATTCCCGAGGATACCAGACATGCAGCCTGTCTCGAGAGCCCATGACTTCCTCCCCAAGGGGGACTTCAGACCCTCCCTGGACAAAGTACACAAGAAGTGGACATTTTACCTAATATTGGAGTGTGTTCCAACAAAACAAATTCAAATGCTTTCTCCTCTTGGCCTTGACCCCCAGAGCAAGCAGAGCCCATCCCTCTACTTCCCCTAACGGGGCAATCAATACTGTCCCTCGTTGTATGGATGATTGAATTGCCTACAGACCTTGGGAAATGACAAAAGAGGCCCCCAAAGAACCCCCAGTGGAGGGCTTTTCCATCCTCTGCTGTACTCACTTGGTTCCCCAGAGTCCGTGGATTTCCAGTCCCAAGAGATGCTTCATGGAGACGGCATCAAGTGGTCCATAAGTCTGAGAAAAGTGTGAATCCAACATCCCCTTCTTGGAAGTCCTCCACACACATTAGCATTTGCAACCCTCTAAGACAAAGGCAGAAAAGAGATCTATTAACCTTTACATAACGCATTATTTCCCAGACTTACCAACCACAGAACCCTCTTTTACTCTGCACGGTAGTAGAGGTACTGTCCCAGGGAACTAGCATCCTGAGAAGCACTTTGGGAACCAGGCTTTACCTAGCAGTCTTTTGACCTGTCGGTACTTTTCTCACCGAAGGCGATTCCCAGTAAGAGCCTGAGATGCCCACTGTGGGAGAAGATAGAGTGTGGAAGTAGGGATGACGCTCGAGTCAGCCTCATTCCAGCCTCACTGAAAGGCACACTCTACTACATCCACAGATGAAGCCCCTTTTCGGAGCCCCAGCTTCTTCCAAAAGCTAATGTGGGCCGAGAAGATTGATGCTCTGGCCTCCAGGGTCTCCGGCAGAGAGATTGGAGCTTAATGCATCCTGCACGCTTCCCTTCAGTTCATTAAAATGTCTTTAGCCTGAGGGTTAGAGGCTCAGGTGTGGGTCTCAAATGCAACCAGAAGCCTTGGAAATGATTTATTGAGCCACTAATTGATCCTGGGCACAACCGCTCTCCTTTTCCTCTCCTCCTAGGTGAACCGGGAGCTCCCGGCAGGATCGTGACTTCAGGTAGGCGGGCCCGGGAGGGGTCCTCCTTCTCATGTCTTTCTCTCTCATGTACTGGGCATCTGCCCTGGCTCTGCCTTAACACCCTCCGAGAACACCCACCCTGCGGGCACGGTGCTTTGGGCAGGATGCCGTGCTGAGCATTTCCCGTCAGCAAGGAGGTGGGTGGGGGGAGTTTGGGGGAAATGAGAGCCCGACCCACAGCCTGGCCTGGGTCCCAGCACCTCTGAGAGAGAAGAGCTTGGCTCAGTCTTCCATGTACCTTCTGTTTTCAGAGGGGTCATCAACTATCACCGTCCCAGGCCCCCCGGGACCTCCTGGAGCCATGGGACCTCCAGGACCTCCAGGTGCCCCAGGTCAGTCCATTTTCTTGCTTTGCCCAAATCAGCAGCAGGCCTTGGTTATAGTGGACTATAGCAGCGTTCGCTCAAATCCTGAAACCCAAGTCAGAAACCCAGGGAAGAGTAAGGAGGGGCTTTCTCAGCCCCTCCCACATAGCCTAGCAAGCCCCCGTCACACCCCACCATTGTCCCAAGCACCGCACAGGCACTGCTTCACTGGGCCCCCACAGCCCCCTTGGAGGCTCAAGCAGGTAAATGACTTGCCTACAGTCACTCGGCTAAGAAGTAGCAGAGTCAGGTTTAAGCCAGGTCGTCCTGCCTCCAGAGCCAGTGTCTGACCAGTCAGAACACTCGGTCCTCAAATTGTTTCCTCTTGGAAAACAATTTGATAATATGCATCAAGGGCAAGAAAAATGCTAAGAATCCATTTGAAGAAAATGTCTCCAAATTGTCCAACAATGAGATTGCCTCAAAAATATGAAGACTTAAAGTTGGGAGATAATAGTGTTATTTAAAAGAGCAGAATGCTTAATAATGTGTGTTCTGTGGTTGCAACTATATTTTTACAAGATGAGGAAAAAATACTGTAAGAAAATAAAACAAAATGCTTACAAGTTAAAGAATTATGGGAGATACTTTTTCTATTTTTTCCAAAATGCCTGTTATTTTATTATATCTATTTTTTAATTATTTACAAATGTTTGTGTGTAAATGAAATATGTGATTTAACATGACCAATGTGAGTATGGACCAGCCTTCCCTCCTGATAAGCTCCAGTGAGGGGGGGACACTGAGGGCACTAAGAAGTCCCTAGCCATTGAAGGACAGTGTCCGAGGGGGCAGCCCTGCTGTCCCGGGGGGTGCTGGGGCCTGGCAGAGGAATTCTCAGCGGGGTGGAGCACAGGGCTGGTCTTGAGTTGCTCATTGCTCTCAGATCAGCACGCTAACCTCTTTGGGCCACCGTTCCATGCCTCGTGAGGAAGCTACGTGTGTACTGAGGCATTTGCCTTTTCTTCAGTTCTTCCTAGAACTGTGGCCCTAGAGGTGTGATAAACCCTTTTCTTCCCAACCCCGTTTCCAGGCCCTATCGGCCCAGCTGGTCTCCCAGGACAGCAAGGTATGTCACCTGAAAGAACACGTCTCCTGGGCTCAGTCGGGGGGCTCTCTTCCCAGGGTAGACTGGGCCCCGGTGTTTAAGCAAAGTGTGAGACGTGCATTTTGGGAAGGGAGGTGAGGGGGCGACCCAGCTCTTCACCAAGGGCCTTCAAGGCCTCAACACCTCCTCTCACCCCTTTCCATGTTTCTGAGAAGGTAGGGGTCCTCTGGACGGGGGGATTGAGGCTCTGTGGCCCCCTGGTCACGGTCAAGCTTGGCTATTTTCATGCCCTCAGGGCTCTGGTGACCAGACCCTGATAATCTCACCACTATCCAGTGATTTATCCAAATACCAAAACACAGTCACGCTTAGGGAAAGCTGGTCCAGTTCCTCCCAGGCATTGCGACTGCAGACAGGAAGGCTCACAGCCAACTTTCTGGCCCCGCCCACTCTCTGATCGGCTCTGCCCACCAATGGCTTGCCCCGCCCATACTCAGCTAGGCCCTGCCCACCCTTGGCTCTACCCTGCCCGCCCCAGGTACCGGGGCAGCTCCGGACCCTCTGCAGAGGGAAATCCTGATGGATTGCTGCAGGCCATGCCCACCCTAACTGTGTCCTCCCGACAGGCCCGCGAGGGGAGCCAGGGCTTGCTGCCGAATCATTCTTGGATAGCAGCAGCTCCATCTCTGAGATCCTCTCTGCCCGTGAGTGCCCCCATGGGCCCAGGGGCAGGTGACACAGGGTGGGAGTGGGAGAGAGGCGGCGCATTGGGGCCTGTGGCAGCTGCACCAGTGCGTCATCGCAAGCCCCAGTGTGAGTAAGGATGGCCAGTTCCCCTGAAATGCAACACTAGCCAAGAAGGAACAGCAGGAGTTTTGTCAGCTGTGGGGGGTAAGTCACTGGGGATGAGGCAGCTGTCAGAGAAGTTCTCAGGATTCCAGGAGGACCAGGGTCACGTGAGGCCTCTGAAGAGAGCCGGGCACCGGGAGTGTCACTGGCAGGAGTGAAGTCACTGCATCCCCCACTCACTGAGAGCAATGACAATGGTCTGTGGGGTCTCAGCCACAGGCCCTGCCTGGCAGGGCTGACTCCTGGGTCGTCCTGTTCCCAAAGTCCTCTAAAGAGCTCAGGCAGAGATGCCACTGGGCTTCCCACCTGGACATGTGGACACTTGAACAACAAAGATAACAGCCAGCCCTGGTTTAGCAGTCACCATGGGCCAGACATTGTGCCATGGCATCTCACTGAGTCTTCACAAGGCCCCTGTGACATAGGTCTTATTGCCTCTGGTTTACAGAGGAGGAAGCTGAGGCTGAAAGAGGTTGAGAACTTGCCCAAAGCCACCAGCTAGAAGTGGTGGAACAGGGATTTGAACCCTGGCTTTCTGACACCAAAGCCACATTCTTACCCATCACTCCATACCTCCATTTCAGCTCTCAGGGAGTTCAACTGCAGCCCTGTCCTGCCTCTGAGCGAGGAGCACCCTTAGCAAAGGAGGTCCTGGAGGGTCATGTGCCACGCCCCAGGGCCTGGTGTGTGGGGTGTGAGTGTAGCCTGGGATGCTTGGCACTGATGATCCTGGGGAGGGGTAAGGCTGGCAGAGAACAGCCTCATGACAGCTTTGCTCATTTCTGTTTTCTTCTCTCTATAGAGGGTCTTGATTTACGAGGTCCCCCAGGCCCACCTGGGCCACTCGGGCCACCAGGTGAGCATCTCAGGGATCTTTGGAAGGTGTGGAATCTTGGGAGACAGGGGACTCAATGAACTTAGTGAGGAAGCCAAGATCCTGCTCTCAGGTGTGGGATCAGCTCCCTGAGTTCAGCATTGCCTCTTCCTCACTTTCTTCCGCAGGAGCTTCCATTCCAGGCCCACCTGGCCCCCCAGGCCCCAAGGGAGACCAAGGTAAGAACAGTGTTTTAGGGAGTGCAGGAGCCTATATGTGGCCCTGCTTACCCAACTGGCAGCTGGGAGAGTTTGGATGAGGCTGGATGAGCTGGGACATTCCTTCATCCTCCTGCCATGTCCCATTAGGAGCTCAGCAGCCTGAAGCATGGGGTGGGGGGAGGCACGGTGGTCAGAAGCTCTACCAAGAATTCCTGCCTCCACATTGGCCAGTGGAAGGAGAGGCATGAGGAGCCCCAAGCTCTGTGTCCGCTCCAGCCCTGGAGCCCGTCCCCTCCCCATGGGCCCCTTGAAGCCACAACACCTGGTTTGTATGTGTCTCACAACTCTCTGCCTTCTTCCCTCAGGCCCCCCAGGCCCCCGAGGACACAAAGGTACAGTAGAGCTGGCATCAAACAAAACATGGGGTAGGGGTCAGGGTGGCAAGAGCTGACCTTCCACAAGCTTTGAGCTTCTTGGGAATGAATTTGGTCCAAATGGGTGAGAGTAGATCAGAGTGTGTGTCTCTGTGAATGGTTGAGAATTTATGTGCGTGTGTGTTTGTGTGTCTGTGTGTGTGTGTGTGTGTGTGTGTGTGAGGCAGCTCTAGGTACTGCCTAAAGGGCAGTGCAGCCCCAGCCATCATGAATCTTGGGGAGCCTCGGGAGGGGAGGTGGGGTCCGGGGCTGGGCCCAGGGAGAGCCTGGAGAGCATAACTGACGGTCCCCCTCTCTGTGTGTTCCTCAGGCGAGCAGGGCCTCCCCGGGTTCTCAGCCTCAGGTAAGTGCGGAGCCCCCGCCCCTGTTGCTGCCTCTGGCCAGAGCCTCTCCCAGCCCTGGCTGACTGCACTGGGTGCGCGGTTGGCTTCCAAGTTCCAGTTCCCTGGGACTCAACCTGCAGGGACCACCAGGCCCACCCGGCCCTCAGGGCCCCAAAGGTGACGAAGGTCAGTGAGGGAGCAGCCAAGAGGGTGGAGAGGAATGGGAGCAAGGCTGGCTCCCAGAGCCCGAGTGAAGGGCAGAGAGGACTTGCTGGTGCTAAAGGCTTGGGAGGAGAGGAAGCTGAAGGAGAAGCTGGAGGGAGAAAGGGACGGGGCCATGGGGATATAGTCTCTGCCAACGGGGAGCTTGTGGTGTGATTGCAGAAACAGACTAAGAGACATGGGACATTGTTGAGTCACACGCAGATAAGTGTGGTTGGGCTTAACTAGGGAAGGCTTCCTGGAGGAGGTGATGCAAACAGGGCTTCTTGTTTTGGATTTCAGGTGATCCCAGAGTCCCTGGCATTCCTAGTGGTCCCACTGGAGGTAAGAACCAAAGGTGACCAAACTTCCTCTCCCCTCCTTCAAGCGAGGCTGATCGTGCCGATGAGGACATTGATTCATTCATTTACCCATGATTCAGTGTTGATTAGGTACTTTCTACATGTGCTAGGATCTCTGAGCTGCCTTTAAGGCGGTTACAAGTTAGTGGGGGTGGGAGGGAAGGACCCAGCACGGCAAAGATGGCTAACAATGCCCATGATGAATGATGGAGCACAGAACAGACCGGGGAGCTAGGGGGGATCAGAGACGAGCGGACCGTGAGGGGCGGTGAGCAGATTGCCAAAGGAAAGGGAGGGTTCGGCCTGGGAGAGCTCCCATCTCTGGGCCCCTTTCAGACAGTGGCTGCTACAGGCACTCCTTTCCTCTCTTTTGGGGGGACCTTTCTCTTTGCCACTGTCTTATTTCTCCTACTGAGGAAGATCCTCCCTCCTCAGATTGTGGAAGCAGTACCTGGGTCCCTTTGTCTGGCCCGAGGGTAGAGAAGCAACTCAGCAGGCTTTCTTTCCTGCAGGGGGATCGTCATGGAGCAGCACGTTCTTGCAGGGGCCGCCAGGCCCACCGGGGCCCCCTGGGCCTCCAGGCTCCATCAGCAGCTCTGGCCTGGAGATTCAGCAGTACATCTCTGACTACATGCAGAGTAAGTGCCCAGGGTCGGAGTAGGGCAATGTGTGTGTGTGTGTGTGTGTGTGTGTGTGAGTGTGTGTATGAGAGAGAGAGTGTGTGTGTGTGTGTGTGTGTGTGTGTGTGTGTGTGTATTGGGGGGCAGCAGTCTCTACAGCCAAGCTCAGGTCTTCCACCTCTGGAGCTAGGACTGCAGGTCTGTGAGCTCCTGCCTTCTCACAGCTGCCCAAACACATAGCCTCGTCCTCGCCCCAGTAGAGGCCTCGCCCCAGATGAGCTCACGCGCTCATCCACATGCACACACAGCTACACACACGCACTTTCTCACGTGTGCACTCCCCCGATCTCATCCCTATGATCCCCACGGATGTGAGGGCACCGGAGCTTTGTCAAATGGGTGGCTGACTGGAGTCTTGCTGGTCCACAGCCCTCAAGTACCGCCTGACCCAGCAGAGACCTCTGCCTCAGTTTCTCCTTCTGTAACAAGGGGTGTCTGGGCTCCCTGCTCGCCATGCCTTGGGGTGCTGTGTAGGGCTGGGTAGATATGTCATCATGGGGAGGGCATGCCCTCTTGGGGACAGGCTTGACTTTGCTTTATTTCTTTGTTGGCAGGTGACAGTGTTAGGTCTTATCTCTCTGGAGTTCAGGGTCCCCCAGGCCCACCTGGTCCCCCAGGGCCTGTCACCACCATCATGGGTGAGACTTTTGACTACTCAGAGCTGGCAAACCTCGTCGTGAGCTACTTACAGAGTAAGTGTCTCCCCACCCCGGGAATAAAACCTTCCTCCCAGGGTCCACTTTTGTTCCTGGGGCCTCATCTCTTAACCTGCTGTTTGCTTTGCCCTTCTTCTGAATGCGATGTTCAATTCTGAATTCGCGGTAACCAGGCCACTGGGATCTGACTTCAGAAAGGGTGTGTGAGATTGAGAACGGAGGCCACACTGCAGAGCCATTTTTAAATGAGCCTTTTTACAGTTGACAGATGTGTCCTAAGTATATGAAAAGGGATGTTTTAGGTTGAAAGGATCTGGTAGGAGTTAGCATCCTCTTGAAAACAGACTGCATTTCTTATCAAACAAAAACAAAACGAGGGCCGGCCCCGTGGCTTAGTGGTTAAGTGCGTGCGCTCTGCTGCTGGCGGCCCGGGTTCGGATCCCGGCTGCGCACCGACACACCGCTTCTCTGGTCATGCTGAGGCCGCGTCCCACATACAGCAACTAGAAGAATGTGCAGCTATGACATACAACTATCTACTGGGCTTTGGGGGGAAAAAATAAATAAATAAAATCTTTAAAAAAAAAAAAAAAAACAAAACGAACTGTGCCCTTTCCTGCTTTCAAAATAGCCTCCTAATATCCCCATTCATTCATTTCCCCAAATGGAAACAGCTAGTGGACCAGGTCTCTGTGAGTCTGGAGTAATGAGAGTGTTGCTTCAGTACAGAGAAGCAGGTAACCCGAGGCTTCCTTCCCGACAGCTTCCGGGCACAGCATCAGCTTGTCGCCCACCTCCATCTCTTCCCAAGACATCCTGGCTGTGCTGCAGCGTGAGTTGCCAGTGGAGGGCGGGAGGGTGGGAGCACCTGTGCTGTCTCCTGACCGCACTTGTCAGGCACGGCTTGTCCTGGTGGGAGCTTTGTGAGGGCTGCAGAGGGGAGGCGGTCTTCCGGAACAAGGACCACTCCCTCATGGCTCCCGGCTGTTTGTGAGTCAGCAGCTGACTGGAAAGGGGGCAGCAAATCTTGCCCGCCCCAATGCCAGGCAACCAGGCAGGTGCCCTTCAGGTGCCTGGAAGCTTCCTGATCTCCCGCTGTGGGCCTGGGAACCCAGAGCTCACATGTCGTCCCTCGGGAACTGGTGTTGGGGGGGGGACCAGGCTGTGGCTGGGTGGTGGCATGGGAGCCCCGTGGCCTGAGTGGGTCCCTTTTAGTGCCTCCTTTCCTTCCAGGGGATGACGTGCGTCAGTATCTGCAGCAGTACCTGATGGGCCCTCGGGGTCCCCCGGGGCCACCAGGAGTGGGTGGAGATTGGTCCCTCCAGTCTCTGGACTACGCGGAGCTGAGCAGTCGAGTCCTCAGCTACATGTCGAGTGAGTGTCTGCCCTCCTGGCCTGCACTCCGCAGGAAGGTGGTCAGGAGGGCCTGGGATGAGGCTGTCGGTGCTGAACTGCCATGAAATGGCCCCACCGACCCTCTCCTGCTGGGCTGCACCAAACCCAGAGGGAGTGAGCGGAGTTCAGAGCTGGTCAAACCTGAGGCCCCAGAGCAGGTGAAGGAGCCTGGCGAGGGAAGTCAAAACGGCGTCTTGGGCACCGTTCATGCATGGAGTTTGCACACAACTCACACTTCTCTATACAGACACACACACATACACTTCTCCATTCACACACACACACTTCTCCATTCACACACACACACATGCACACACACACTTCTCTAGACACACTCACACACTTACACTTCTCTATACAGATCTTCCTCCACTTAGGATAGGATTACGTCCCAATGAATCCATCCTAAGTTGAAAATGTCACAAGTTGAAAATGCATTTAATACACCTAACCTACCGAACATCATAGCTTAGCCTCGCCTACCTTAAACAGGCTCAGAACACTTACATTAGCCTACAGCTGGGCAAAATCATCTACCACAAAGCCTAGCTTATAATAAAGTGTTGAATATCTCTTGTCGTTTATCAAATACTGGACTGAAAGTGAAACAGAGAATGGTCGTCTAGGTACCGAATGGCTGTAAGCATATGGGTTGTTTACTCTCGTGATCACGGGGCTGACTGGGAGCTGCGGCTCGCTGCCGCAGCCCAGCATCGCGAATACCATACCGCATATCACTAGCCTGGGAAAAGATCAAAATTCAGAAAAGAAAAAGTTCTTTTCTACTGAATGCATATCACTTTCGCACCATCATAAAGTTGAAAAATTGTAAGTCGAACCATCATAAGTCAGGGACCCTCTGTAGACCCACACATACACATCTCCGCGTATACATACACGCGCACACCCCCACACACTCAGCAGGATGAAGGGTACAGGCACTTTTGACCTGCCCTCTTCCTAGCACCTGAGCCCCTTCCTCCTTTGTGTCCTTACCCAGGACTGTCTCTCTGTATTACTCTTTCTGCCCGTCTCTTCCTGCTGCCCCTCTCTTTTCCCTTCTTCGGGCTCCTCTTCTGTCCAGATCACTCCTGTGTCTGACTTCCTCTCTGACAGGGTATTTCCACCTGTCCTTTTCTGTCTGATCTGAATCCATCACAACTTGGGATTTTGTTCCTCAGGTTCTGGAATCAGCATTGGGCTTCCTGGCCCCCCAGGGCCCCCTGGCTTGCCGGGAACATCCTATGAGGAGCTCCTCTCCTTGCTCCAAGGTAAGCTGAGCAGGGGACATCTGTCCAAGTGGTTTGGGATGGAAGGCAGAGCCCCATGGTTCAGGCCATGACTGACCCCCTGCTCTCCCTTGATGTCTCAGGGTCTGAGTTCAGAGGCATCGTTGGGCCCCCAGGTCCCCCTGGACCTCCAGGGATCCCAGGCAACGCGTGGTCCAGCATCAGCATGGAGGACCTCTCATCTTACTTGCACAGTAAGGCACAAGGAGCAGGGGTGAGGAGGGCAGAGGACTGCAGCCCGGCCTTGGGGGCTCCCATGGGTTTTAGCAAGGGTAGTCATGGAGAGTTGAATCCATTCGCCAGTCACCAAATCCTCCTGGAGCATGTCCAGGGCACGCCCTGGGGCCCCGGAGAGGGACACACTTGCTTTTGAGGTGCTTTCAGCCCTGGCAGGGGGAGAAGTGGGGAGAGACAGTGCTCCCAGGTGCAGCCATTAGAGGAGTCATGAGGCGGCATGTGATCAGATGCCAAGCTGGGAGCTCCAGCTCTTAGTGGCGGAAGGGCTGAGGGCGGGGATATGATGTGGGTTAGATGAGGCTCAGAACTGGGAGTGCAAGGAGCAGTCATTCCCGGTGATGCCAGGAAATGGGCGTGCCATGAGCCTCCTGCTGTTCGCTCCTCCCCTCACCAGGGGCCCGGCCTCATCCTCTCCTTTCCGTGAGGGGCCCGCAGCGGGCCCAGAGCCCAGGCCGGGAACTCAGCATTCTCAACAGGTGATCCCTAATCTTTCTCTTTCTCTTGCCTCCCGCTCAGCTGCCGGCTTGTCATCCATCCCAGGCCCTCCAGGCCCTCCTGGTCCCCCAGGCCCTCGAGGCCCTCCAGGTGTCTCAGGAGCTCTGGCAACCTACGCAGCTGAAAACAGCGACAGCTTCCGGAGCGAACTGATTAGCTACCTCACGAGTAGGTGCCCCGACGCTGCTGTGCCTCCTATGCTGCCTGCCCAGACCTTGCTTCTCCCTGTAAGAGGAGCAGCAGGCGCTTGGAGGACCCCGGGAGGCCAGCTACATGGGAGGCCCCAGGGGGGGAAAGCCCAGTTTCTTCCCGCCCAGCACTCTCCTGCTCATGTACAAGAGCCTCGAAATTCCGATCCTGCTTTGGGGCGTTGAGACCCTGGGAGAGGGTCTTTCTCTCTACCCAGACCTGAGCTCCCACTGAGGCAGCGTCTTCCCTGCAGGTCCTGATGTGCGCAGCTTCATCGTTGGTCCCCCAGGCCCCCCGGGGCCCCAGGGACCACCTGGGGACAGCCGCCTTGTGTCCATGGACGGCTCATACAGTCGGGGTAGCAGCTCCTCCTCACACAGCTCCTACAGCTCTTCGATGGGCATAGGAGGAGCCAGCGGAGGCTCTCTGGGTGAAGGGGGAGCCTTTGGCCTGGACATGGGCCTGGGCCGAGGCTATGGGGCAGCAGCAGAAGGTGCCATGTATGGTGGCGATGGCGGATCTTTCGGGGCTGGCTTTGCTGGAGGTCTGGATTACAATGAGCTGGCTGTTCGGGTGTCTGAGAGCTTGCAGCGTAAGTTGGCCTCACTTAGCCTCAGTGCTGTGGGGGGTTGGGGTGGGGGCGGGGGGAGCACATGAGCATCTCCACACCTGGGCTCCAGAAACTCACCCTCTCATTTTTGGAGCGCCCAGGCTGTGAGGACAGCAATTCTGGAATCAGATGGGCAGGGACTGAAGACAGGAGGCCCCAACCTAATTCTCGGCCAGCTTAGTTCCAGGGGACCCCGTCAGGACTGGAGCCTACTCCAGGGAATGGAGCATGTTGGGGTCTCCGTTCTTTGCTTTCCCAACTACTTGTGTGGGTCACAGGAGAGTCTCTGTGCCTGGAACAGTTTTCTGGTGGGGCTGAGGGAACACTGTTGGCTAAGAAGCCTTTCTCCCTGTAGCTTACAGCAGTTATTTCAAAAGCCTTAGATGAAAGCCCACTGGGGTGGAGACAGAGCCTCTCACCAGGGAAGATGAAGGGCAGGGCCTTTCCCTTGCTGCCCCTAATCTAGTCTAATTGCGCTGGGAGTTAGACAACAGAGGGCACTGTACCCCACTGTGAAGAGGGTGCCCACATTCTTGGTGTTTTACAGGTCAGGGCCTGCTGCAAGGGATGGCCTACACTGTCCAGGGCCCACCCGGCCAGCCTGGGCCCCAGGGGCCCCCTGGCATCAGCAAGGTCTTCTCTGCCTACAGCAATGTGACCGAGGACCTCATGGACTTTTTCCGAAGTAAGGGCATCCCCCGATTGCTTCCCCAACACTTAACGTGTGACACAGTCTCACTGGGGCCTGGTCCACAAAAACCAGTCTCCCGAAAAACCTCCAGTTATTAACACTGGGGATGCTGAAAATCTCATAAAATTGAAACTTGGTTTTCCTCTTATAAGTCCAAACTCTACCACTTCTTACCTGTGTTACTTGGAACAAATCACTTTACCTCCCAAGCTTCAGGGTGATCTCTAGTCTAAGGCCAGTTTTTTCCCCTTGCAGCGTATGGAGCCATTCCAGGACCCCCTGGGCAGAAGGGAGAGGTGGGCATCCCAGGACCCAAAGGTAAGTGGTGGCAGGAAACAGCCACCAGGATCCTGTGTGACAACTTCCTGCTGAGCAGCAGCTCCCGCCAGTGCTTATGGATCTGTGCCGCGCCTCCAGCTTTCTCCGCCAGGCCCGCGCTGCTGCTTTACTTAGCACGCCCCTGTCTGTCCTCCTAGGTGCGAAGGGCCCTGCTGGACCACCAGGTCGGCCTGGGCCACCCGGCCCTCGAGGGCACAAGGGAGAAAAAGGAGACAGAGGTAAGCCATGGCTGCTGCAGTTTCTGGAGTGCTGGGCAGCTGGCGCTCAATAGAAAAGAGGACGATTTGTTCCAGAGCCTGAAAATTTAAGGCAAATGCCAAGTACTAAAGGCAGACACTGCCAACGATGTAATTGGCAATGACAATCACATGAACAGCTGGGGAGAGAGGAAGGAGCGTGCCAGTGCAGGGAGGAAAAGGAGAACTGACCTGGTAGTGAAATAAGGCAAACAATTTAAATAAATTGAGAGTCTTACAGAGTAGTTCATCTTCCAAGCCAGTTTTGCAGTAGTCGCAGTTGCCGTAATTGCCAAGCTGAAGTCCCCGCAGGCCACAAGATATTTTTTAACTTCCTACCCATCTTCTGACTTTCAGGTGACCAAGTCTATGGTGGGAGGAGGAAGAGAAGTGTTGCCAGCAAGCCATGAGCTGCCCTTGGCAGAACAGCCCCCTGGACCAGTTCTTGCAATGGCTTATGGCGCTTAGGTCAGAATCTCTCCAGAGGGTAAAAGCTGGCGTCTCCACGGCCTACTGAGACAGCACCACCAAATAGGCAACTAGAACTCTTGTGTTAGTCTGGAACTATCTATATAGAATTCAGCCAAAGGTACACATTCTGAAACAGCTCTGTTGGGTGGACTTCAGAATAGGTGCAGTGTTGTAGAATGAGACTGACTTCTCTGCTATCTAGAGCTGAGCTCCTTGTCTTCTTTAAATCTTAGTTCAAACCCCCACCTAGGAAAGCCAGTTTCGTAAAAGTTGGCTCAGGAGTCCTCGAGCTGTGCCTAAAAATGAGCCCAGAAAATGGAAGATGAGGATGTCACCTGGGGGTGACACTGGTGGGGATGTGTTCTGGTTAATGCTGCGAGGCTGTGCTGGCAGCCCCTTCCCTCCTGTTCACTCTGTGCCCTCTAGTCACAGAAGAGTTGGCTAAGAAGCAACTCTTGCAACTGAAAAAATTACGAAATTCACTTCCACAGAAGGTGGTGACAGGGTTTCTAATAGTTATTTCTCACTACAAATCATATTCCCACTTGCTTAGAAAGTTCGTTTGATTGTAGCTATGATCTGTATCCATAGGTCCCTGCTTGAGTTTATAGCAATGTTATACTGAACTAGCCTGCAGCAAATAGAAAAAGAAGGAAAATGGGCAGGGAAGAAAGGAAGGGAGAGGAAAACAGGATACCTGATGCCGGGGAAGGATGTCACCTCTGTTCTGCACTTAGGAAATGGCACGGGGACTGGGCGCAGCTGGTTTTTAAGCACTTTTCAACGACTAAAAACATTTATGTGGTCTATTAGATGAAAAGTCATTTCAATTGCAAAATTTCCAATTAAAGGTTTTTTTTCTTTTTTAATATTATGTTTAATGTGGTCCATCTAACAAAAGTAAAAGGAAGAGAGGGAGGGAAGGAAGAAAGGAAGGAAGAAAATATTTTGGGTTAATTGGGTTTGACTTGAACACTATTATAAACACAAGAAAACGAAACTGGTTGTATCTGGGGACACAGTTTCTGGCATTTTGTTTCATCACTGAGATCTTTAAAGGCAGATCTTCATCTGCAGCTACTAATTCAACCTGGCCATATTACAAAGCATCTGAAGGGTTTCCCTAAGCATAAGTTACTTGAAATAAACACATAGGCAACAGATAAACACTAAGATTATTTGGAATTAATGCATTGATTTATCCTGGGGAAAAGGAGTTACGATTGCAGGGCAAGTAATAATATATGGAATACCAAAACTCCTATTAAGAAAAAATGCACAAATATCAAATACCCCACAGAAATGCATAGCAAAATCAACACAAATTCAGAAGAGGCTACAGTTGGCCAAGTTGTGAATTTGTTACAAGCTATGACACTCAATTGCTGAGTAATTAAAAACGGGGTTAAATTAAATCTCCTTCTACACCTCTCCTCTTCTAAAAGACTTGTTATTTTCTCCCGAGCATCTCACGTATTATCCTGGGAAACACACACATGTAGTTCCACTATATCAAACCACTGCTAGCAGCAGCAACCAAACACCAACACTCTACCTGGTCTGTCTGCATCCTGTATCACATCCTGACAGCTACCTGCTATGAATCAATGTGGGAATTCCAAAAAACGACTTCCTAAGGCCTTCAGAATTTCAAACAACTTTTTACTAATGAAAACTCATTATTGTGTATTATGAATGACTGCATCATGCCTTTTTAATATTGTAGTTTTACCTAGAAGCTGAATCCATTTATTTCTGTAATAGCAGCTTCAGCAGCTCAAGTATTATATCCCTTTAATGATTCTTATCTTGATTAATCAGACTTATGAGTTTTTCCCCAGTTACTAGATTTACCTTTCTAAGCTAGCGAAGTCTTCATCGAGTTCTATGACCAAGTGAAATAGGGTAGAAGTTCAAACCTGCTACCGCCTCTGGACAGAACCCAGGAAGAGGATGGGCAGATACGAGATATGTCCTCAGCTGGACGGCAATGGATCTGAGCCTCGTTTGTTTCATTTAAAAAAAAAAAAAAAGGTCAAGAATGAGCTCAATAGTAGGCAATGCTTCTGGATTAGAAAATGACATGCTATGCCTCCCTCCAGCCAAGTTGAACACTTGCCAAATGATGCTGCCTAGTGTCTACTGAATCTTGCATGAACATATCAATGACGAAAAGGTGTTATTTTTAGCAAAAGTGAGGTCATATGGTTTGTGCAATGTTTGGTGAGAAAAATAATCCATCCCAAGGGAAAAAAAAGAAATAAAAAATATGTACATATACATATGTTGATGGAAATATTTAAAGCACCTCCCAAAGCAGGGGTTTGCATGCTGAAAAACACCCCCTCTAAGTTACCAGTAAAAACCACATTCTTCTGTGTGGTGACTACTGATGGCGAGGAACACTAATAAGTCTGAAAGGGTCAGAAGACCTGGAGGACTGCAAGTGTTAAAATATAACCAGAACCAAAAAAGCTGCAAAATGTTCTCATGCAGGACAACCTAGTTTCAAAGATTCGCAATAAAAGACTGCTTCTCAAACTAGATTAAGAAATAACTTTATTTTTCATTTGTCAACCCCATATTGAAAAGACATGTTGCTCCCAAATAGACAAGATGCATTATCTGAAACAAAATTCTTTCTGAAAATTTAGCTCGTGAAGTCATTACACTGCACATCAGAGAAGGATCACAAAAAGCTGCAGCCAGCATTTAAAACTGGTGTAACATTCTATCCCAAGCTTAGTAGCAGAAGTTTTAAAGCTATATCAAAACCATGTCAGCCACAGAATAGCAACAACAGAGGCATTAACTGTTGTGCCTTCAACTTAAGAAAAGCATTTAAAATATCTCATTTCCTATAAAAGATCATTTCCCAGAAAAGAATTGATTGATTTAATCAGAAGACTATTAGAACTGGAACGAACTCTCCTCTTCCACCTCAGTTCTAGGCTTTCCTTTAATCAACAGTATCTCTAGCGAATCATGTGACAGAATTTGGCTTCTTAGGAGAGTCTTTGTCATTTAAGCACAGTGTGGAATGGGACAAAGTGTGTAGTTACAAGGGAACTAGAAGAGTACAAAAGACAGTCACTTCTGAAACTCGCTGATGCTCAAGAAATCAGAGACCCTCCATTAGTGGGTCTCATAGGCCTGAGAGCTTTGTGCTTGAAGAAACACTACTTAGAGGTAGCTCTGGTTCTGGTTTATATTTAGTTACAATTTGCTGTATCCTGTCACAGCAAAGTCCTAATATTTTCAGCAAAGTATAAGCACTCTAAATTTCCTCCTTACCCACCCTATAGCTTCCCCATAGAAAAGGGTAAGAAAAAGCTTAATTGTGACTCCATAAAGAATAGCAGCTATTTCAGCAATTCACACCCAACTATGGATTGACAGGACTAGGAAAGGCAACCTGGTGCAACCAGCTCTATGAGCTAGACCTGCAGAAGTGTGGCGATCTGGTGTAGTCACAGCACGCAAGGAGAAGAGGGGAGGCTAAGTTTGGGGTGCACATATGGAGAATTTCTTTTATGCATTTCATAGCACATTCTGCCACAGCAACAAAACAACCAAATCAGGAATGGATTTGTCTATAACCTTCGATTTCAAAGAAGTCTGTGCCCCTCCCTCACTCTCCACCTACACTTCATGTGAGAAAGAAAGATCACTATTATCTATTTGAATATAGGGCGTAACAAGAAGTGGGCAGGGATGGCTACAAACAGCATATTCTATACCAATACACTTTTTGAAAAGATTTATGTAACTTTAAGTATTAAAGTGAATGTTTCATCTCTACATTATGTATCATTTTGTAGTCCTGCACCCAAATAAATATGGTCATATTTGAAAGAGAACGCAAGCATAAACACTGAATCCAAAGGGCAGTTTTAAGGGAGATGCAAGCATTGCTAATAAACTTACCAGTGTAACCATTCTCCTCTGAGCCTCTTTCCTTTATTCAATACTCTGAATGTCAAGTGGAAAGGAATAAAAAGAATCAAATATTCAGACCAAATTAATTATGTGCCACACACTGGCACCCAGGATATCATTTAAGTGATACTGAAAAAATGTCCATTGCCTTAAGTATTAATTTTTTAAAAGCCAATAAACTGAAAATTTCAAAGGAGAAAGTGGTATGAGAACGTTCCTCTTCTCTCCATCTTAAAATAAATCATTAAATACACTGGGTAACATTATACTGTCATTTTTATCATAAGAATATAAACAATTTCCATCATCATCCTGAATATTACTTTATAAAGATATATATTTTAAAAGGCTTTCAAAACATTTTTCAACCCAGCATTTGAGAATAAAGCATTAAAAGAGCTTTGTATACAGTAACACATTCATGTGATAAGTATGAATTTACAACCATACATAAGATATATGTATATATATTTATATAAAAAAAAAACTTGGCCAGAAGTTAAGGCTACCTACAAAGTTGTCCAAGTAAATTAGCTTGTCAAAACAATTACAAAATTAAAATCACACATGCATTTTTAAATCATCTAAACCACTGACAAAATAAGGTTGAGCATTCAAAGTTTTCAAATTAATTGCAAGAAAAGTGCTACAGATATTTACATTTTCTTAATATGAATCAGTGTTCCCACAAAGTTATATTTAAATTTTTCACCAGCCTCAAATGTAATATAACTAAAAACTGAAACTGGTACAATTTGGTACCTAGTACTCTTAAAAGAGAATAGGTTGCAAACGGCAGGCAGCAAGCATCATTTACAAATGTGCGTTTATAAATACTGTTTGACCTGACACGTGCTTGAAATTCGAAGCCTCAAGAGGGACTAAGAGTGAACATTTCATTAATAATTACACATATCAGCAACCACGTGATAAAGGTTTCAGGCTTTTCCCACTCAAATTAAACTAAATAATTTAACCATGGGACAAAATAAAACCAAAATATAAATTGACTTTATTTCAAAACAACAAAAAGTCATTTCTGACATTTGCCTAAATATTTTATTTAAATTCTTTTTTAAAAAATATTCTGAAAAAATGCCTCTTTTAAGATTAGTTTCAGAAAATACATTTATAAATATAACTCAGAGCCTGCAGGCCTCTGACAGAGTTTCAAATGAACAGAATTTACTAAGATGGGATAACCAGCTCATGTATTATTTTAGGAAATAAGCTAGGACAGCTATATTTATATTTCTTTTAATTTGGTGAGTTTTACATTTCCAATTTGGACATCCAAAAGCTACCTTTTCTTTTTCATCTTTCTTACTTTTTACAACATATACTTTAGGATGAAAATTTCTATCAAATGGTAATAGCAAAATTTAAAAAACAATAATGCTTAATGCTAAGGTGTTCTGTCCCTGTTGAATCAAAAAAGAAAATCTTATTTTAGACTCGATTGAAATTTAGTGTTTTAGGCTCTATCTTAATAAAACCAGCACCCTTAATTATTAGTTTATGCCTAAACAGGTAATTATTTTATAAAAATTATTGAAATAATTTTTCTCTTTTAAAAGAATTCATTGCTATTTAAAGATAAAATAGATTTATTTATTGAGTCAATATATTTTGAGCAACTCATAGCTTTTTTATGAGAGCTGATTCACCAAAAGAAAATTACTCCAACTCTCTACAGCAGAGTTTCAACTACAGAATTTAGGCATCATTGAGAAGTTAGGTCAGGTAAAAAGATATTTACTAATACTTAGCGATGTAACAGGTTTTTCTTAATACCTTTAAACTTTATATCTCTAACAGTTTTTCAGGTAACAGTGTCTAAAGAACACAATTTTTAAGATTAATATACAAAATCACCTTAGGGAATTACTGCAAGATGCTACATTGCCAACATGACCCAGCATCTGTCTTAGTTCCTTTCCCTTCATCTTTGCTAAACAAACAAAACAGAAAAACAGAAAAATACCTAGAAGGTGAGGCAGGTGATTGTCTTCTTGAGCTCTCTAAGACAGACTGTGGTAGAAGATGAAGAGAAAAGAATGACATATTTAAAAAGCCAAACCCAACCACAGAATGCTCCCCATTGTTATGATCCAGTGGAATGCAAGCTAGGAATAGGATAGAATTTGGAAATCCGGCTCTGTGTTGATGGGTTAAGGCATTCAGACTCCCCAGTCATTTTAAAGAACACTTCCTGTTCCTGCAGTTTCCT